GCAAATTAAATTTTAAAATTGCATTAGTTCATTCATCTGTGTGTGCCCCTTGAGCTCACACGTGCCATGTGTGAGAGGAGAGGTCAGAGGACAATTTATCTGTAGGAGTCAGTTCTCTCCACCATATGGGCTCTAGGAGTTACACTGAGGTCATTAGGCATGGCAGGAAACACCGATCACCACAGAGCCATCTCACCAGCCTTTTGTTGTTGTTTTGTTTCTTTATTTGTTTGGTTATTTGATACAGGGTTTCTGTGTAGCTTTGAAGCCTGTCCTGAAACTCGCTCTGTAGACCTGGCTAGCCTCAAACTCGAGATCCGCCTGCCCTCTGCCTCCTGAGTGCTTGGAGTAAAGGTGTGTGCCACCACCGCCAGGCTTTTGTTTTTCTAGATAGGGTTTCTCTGTGTAGCCTTAGCTGTCTTGGAACTCACTCTGTAGACCAGGCTGGCCCTCAAACTCAAAATATCTGCCTGCCTCTGCCTCCTGAGTGCTGGTATTAAAGGCGTGCACCACCACTGCCCAGCAATTTCAACAGTCTTAAAATGCCAATTTAAAAGGAGAAATAGTAGGAAGAAAGAGAGAAGGGGTCTAGGGGAGTGACATGTTTACAACACATCCCTATATGACACAGAGTCTGTGATGTGAGTTATCCAACAGGGGGCACACTGGGTCCTAGCTAAAGACCTGGGAACACTGGAGCATCTATTTTGTACATCCTCACTTCAGGTACAGGTTTTGGGGGCTGGAGAGATGGCTCAGTGGTTAAGAGCACTCACTGCTCTTCTGAAGGTCACAACTGCTGGTGTACAGATGTGCATGCAGACTTGACTAGTTAGACTGACAATCCAGTCTCTGCCTGTTCTCTGAGGAGTGCAGCACCAGCCAGACTCTTCCTCTTCCCCGGAAATGGGGCCCCACAGTCAATGGTCTTTAGTTTCTTCTGTAGGCTCAGGGTTACACTCTAGTCAGCTTAGGACATACATGTCCAACATGGATGGTGTATCCAGGCTCTGACTTCTACCTGTTATGCAGTGTGGGCAGAGCTTTCTGTCCTGCCCAGTTCTGCAGCTGTTTAGTCCCAAATAAACACACAGAGGCTTATATTAATATAAATTGTTTGGCTGATAGATGGCTTCTTATTGGCTACCTATCTCTTAATTATTAACCCATTGCTATTAATCTATGTATCTCTATGTGATCTTGGCTTACCAGTGAAGCCTAGGTCTCTTTCTTCCTTGGCAGCTACATGGTGTCTCACTTGCGACTCACTCTCCTTGTTCCTCTTCCCAGAATTCTCCTAGTCTGGTAGCCCCGCTTGCCAGTCCATTGGCCAAAACAGCTTTATTCAAATCCAATAAGAGAAACATATTCACAGCACACAGAAGGACTTCCCCTATCATGTAATATTGGATTTCTTCTTCTTCTTTTCAAATCCTCTCTGCCTTGTGTCAAATATTAGCCATTTCTCCAGCCAGGGAGATGACTTATTTTACCAAAGCACTTCCTAATTCTCCTGTGTGTGTGTGTGTGTGTGAGAGAGAGAGAGAGAGAGAGAGAGAGAGAGAGAGAGAGAGAGAGAGAGAGAGAGAGTACACAAGCATATGTGCACACAAGGTCACCCTCAGGTATCATTTCTCTTGTTTGTCCATGTCATTCTTGACATGTTCAGACAGAGACTCTTACTACTCTGGAACTCTCATCTGTGCTTCCCCAGTTTTGGGATCACAGATGTGAGCTGCCATACTCAGTTTTTGTTTTTTTTTTTTTTTTTGTTTTTTGTTTTTTTTTTGGTTTTTTTCTCCAATGTGGGTTCTGGAAATGAAACACAGGTCATTGAACTTATGACTGAGCCATCTCTACAGCTCATTTGTTACAAAACATAAAGATAATTTTGTGCATTTGTACCTGTATGTTATATATTCATGTATGTGTGCGAGTGTGTGTAGATTTTTATGTGTGTGCAGGCATGTGCAAAGGCAGGAAGACAACTTTGACTGTCATTCTGCAAGTTCCAACCATCTGTTTTTTCTGAGAGAGATGCTCTACTGGCCTGGAGCTCACTAAGTAGGCTAGGCTGGCTGGCCAGTGAGCCCCAGAAATGTACATGTTTCCTCTGGGTTGGGGTTACAAGCTTGTGCCACCACTCCCAGAAAACCTTACTGCCTAGCCATCTCCCTGGTGCATTCATGACAATGTGTAGTTGTTGCCTGTTCTCATCAGCTTTTTCTTCAGTTCCAGGGACAGTACCTAGCACGTAGTAGGACAATATGTTGAGAAAATGTGACAAAAGAATGAGTCTTGTGACTAGGGTTCTGCTATGGTCTGGAAGTTGTTTCAGGGAGAGAGAAACATGGGTTCATGTGTCGTTGGAAGCTTGGTCGCCAAGCAAACCCTTTAAGGCAGTGACTCTCAAGCTTTCTAATGCTGCAACCCTTTACTCCAGCTGTGTAGTACTTTACTCATGGTTCAGTGACCCAGCCATAAAATTCTTTCCTTGCTACTTTTTAATTGTACTTTTGCTACTGTTACAAATTATAGTCAAAGTATCTGATATGTGATCCCTGTGAAAGGGTCATTCGACCCCCAAAAGGGTAGAGAGAGGCATGGGTTGAGAACCTCTCTTTAAGAGGTGGGGCTTAGTGGAAGATCCTGAAGTTCTCATCCTTCCAGAGGGTTAGGACCCCGAGCTTTCTCAAGAGTGAGTTGTAAGAGCCAAGTCAACCACCATCTTGTTCTTTGGCTTCCTTTTGGAACTGTGGTCATTTCCTCCCACACAAGCTCCCCTTAACGTGGCACTGTACATAGGTAGACCCTCACCAGACAGCAAGCTTAGAACTCCAACCCTCCAGAATCATGAGCTAAATAAACCTCTCTAGAAAACCTGCTACAGATGTTTCAATATCAGCAACATGAAACCAACGTACAGCCCACCTCTTTGTAAGGATTATTTTTAGGCAGGCTCTCTGTAAGGGGCAGAGTTCTCTAGAACAAATAGAACACGCATGCATGCACACACACATGCATGCATGCACACGAAGGACTTATTAGATAGGCTTACTTGGCAGGGGCCAGGTCGGCCAACAGTGTCTGTGTACCTGCTGGTTGATGTTTAGTTCCTGAAGATAGATGCCTCAATGGTCAGAATCTGGCACTGAAGGTCTTCAGAATTCCAAAAGTCTGTCCATGTTGGAAGGCCAAGGAAGCTGGAGTCTGAAGCCGCAAAGGATGGTGGCACAGCACATAGGTTTGCTTGCATCTCTTGCTCTTGCATGTAGGATGTCCATTGGCAGCTTCTGTCCCCTGAGATTAGGTCCTTCCCCTTAGTTAATCCTCTTTGGAAAGGTCCCAGAGGCATGTTTCCTAGGTGATTCCAGAATCTGTCAAGTTGACAATCAACATTGTGTTACCAAGGTGGCCTACAACCAGCTAAGTGGTTCAGGTTGTTTTCCAACTGAGCATCCTCCTGCTTCAGCCTCCCAAGAATTAGGATCACCACCGTGTGTCTCCAAAACCAGATCCTGCCTCTTTTTATATCACCTTAATGTTGTACATGACCGTCCTATAATAGGCTGGATGTCTGAGTCTGAGTTGGTTTCAGATACCCACCAAGGGCCAGAATGAGAGAACACGTGTTCTCTCTGTGATTAGGTGTGTCTGTGTGTACATGTCCATGTGAGTACATGTGCAGAGATCAGAGGAAGGCACTGGGTGTCTGCCCTCTATTGAGGCAGAGTCTCTCTCTGCATCTGGAGCTGGAGATGTTTGGCTAGGCCGGTGGCCTGTCATGGAGCACCAGCAATCTCCCTGCCTCTGTCACCCACACCCTGTAGTGCTGAGGTTACAGGTATGACATGCCCAGTTTTTTTCCCTCAGGTGCTGGAGAACTGAACCCAGGCTTCCATGCTTGAATAAGTGCTCTTCCCTGAGCTGCTTCCATTGCCCCAAGGAAACTGAGAGCCAGGCAGGAGAAGCAGGAGGAGTCATGTTTATTGACTGGAAGTAAAATGTAAGGATTGGTGTATCTGTGGTAAGGGGGTCTTTAATTCTCTTCTAGGCTTACCTTATTACTAGATAATTTCTAATAAAGAAACAAGGAAACTTTAAGCAGATTTGAATAAAACTAGAATGACTATTCCTAGTCCTGGAGGTGGGGTTTGTATCTGTCAGTTTTAAATTTTTATCTACTTTCTTCTTTTCTCTTTCTTTTTTTCCTTCCTTCCTCCCTTCCTTCATTTTCTTGTTTTTGTTTTGTTTTTTTTCAAAGCAGAGTTTCTCTGTGTAACAGCCCTGGCTGTCCTGGAACTCGATCTGTAGACTAGGCTGGCCTAGAACTCACAGAGACCTGCCAGCCTCTGCCTTAAGAGTGCTGGGATTAAAGGTGTGCCCAGCTCGGCTTATTTTTTCTTAATGTGTATGTGTATCTGTTTGTATGTATGCACACCACGTGTGTGTAATGCCCTTGGAGGCCAGAAGGGGGCATCAGATTCACTGGAATGGGAGTTGCATGCACTTATGAGCCCCCATTGTGGGTTCTGGGAACTGAACCCAAGTCCTCTTCTGGAGCAGTCAAAACTCTAAACTGTTGAGCCATTGCTCCCACCCATCACAAGTTTTAAGTTAAGTCTGGCCCTCAAGGAATACTGGCTCCAGGTTGGCTTGGGAAGCCTGAAAGAAAGAGCAGCTGTAGGTGAGTCTAATCTGAAGGCTAGAGAGAGCCTGTTAACATCACCATTCACTTCTGTTAGTGCCACTGGATGGCTGTGACACCAGCGGTAGGGAAGAGTGACAGCAAAAGCCCTGTCTGCTTAGCAGGTCCCAGTGCTCCAGGCCTGAAGCCCAACTTACCTTTGACCTGGCCCCATCTGGATGGTGGAGACACCCTGCATGTCAACTCCAAATGCTACCTGGGGTTTCTTTTGCTGGTTCCCTTCTGGAGTCCCTCCCACCTGACATCTCCTCAGCATTGTGGGATACAGAGACAAGCAGGAGAGGTCTGAATGTTAAGTAGAGTCACATATTTTATTCGAGCCTCATTTCTTTGGAGAAAAGGGAGCAGAGAGGTGAGGAGGTTAGAGACATTCTGGCACAGTTCCCAGAGACAGAGAGCATGCGCAGGAAGCTGTCACTAGGCATCTGCTGAAGGTGAAATCTGGGACACCTGGAGACAGGCCTCAGAGACCACTGTCCACCTTGAGTCATGCAGCCTGGGAGTTAAGATGGGCATGTAATCCCAGCACCCAGTAAGAAGGAAGTCAGCAGGCAGAGGGCCACAGAGCCAGGATGAATGGCTTGTACCCAATCTAGATCACACGCCTGAGTGATGCCTTTTGGGCAGGGAGGATTTGCCAAGATAATCTGCCTGCTATCTATTTCCAGTTCACCTACCAAGTGTCCTCATTGTACTGGGGTGAGTTTGGATGAGCATGTGGCTGTTTCCTCTCCGAGGAACGCGTCTGAGGTGGAATCCGAGACTGGGAGCTTGAAGCCCCAAAGCGATAGGCGGTGAAGTAGTTCCGCCAGGGGCTGTGAGACCTTGTCCTGGTCCTAGGTTGGGGCCTCCTCTCCCTCTCTGACGCCAGCTCCGGCTCTTCCTCTGTCTCTGGCTCTGTCTGGACATCTGTCTCAAGCTCTGTGTCTAGCTCCAGATCGGATTTGGCTTGGATCTCAGACTCCAGCTCAGATTCAGGGTCCATCTCTGACTCCCGGTCCAAGTCCAGGTTCAGGTCCAGGTCCAGGTTGAGACCCAGCCCACTGTTCTTTTCAGAATTCAGCATGGGATCCAGGTCCAGGTCAAACTCCAAGTCATCCTTAATGGGCTTGTGGATCTTGATGTAGTTAGGACTTGCACGTTGGGGGTTGTCTATGATGTTGCTACCAGTTTTATGTCTCAAATTGCTCAGGTTGCCATTCTGAAACAGCACACATTTGGAGGGGTTAAGACTCTTTGTTTTGTTTTGTTTTTGTTTTTTGAGACAGGGTTTCTCTATCTATGGCTTTGGAGGCTGTCCTGGAACTAGCTCTTGGAGACCAGGTTGGTCTCGAACTCACAGAGATCTGCCTGCCTCTGCCTCCCAAGTGCTGGAACTAAAGGTGTGTGACACCACCACCCGGCTGGAGGGGTTAAGACTTAACCAGTGAATTTCACTTCCAAGTATTCAAGGGATTTCAGAACATATCCAGGACTAAAGGTCCTAGAATCATGGCTTTGTTGCCCAAATCTGCTTCAGATCTAAGTGTTTCTTAGTCCTTCATTATTCTTTGGGTTCAGTCAACCCCTGGCATCTGCTCTCTGGGCTTTTCTAGCTAGACTGGATTTCACAACACATCTTTTTTTTTTTTTTTTTTAAATCTCAGTTGCAAACCCTAACACAATCCAGACATCTAAAGGCCTCTAAGACTGTTTATCTTTCACCTTCAAGCTGTGGTGCCCTTCCTTAACTCTAGCCATAATGGCAAGGGAAATTGCCCGACTTCACCTGCCTCATCCATCTCCATCTTGTCCACATATATGATGCAGATCACAGATGGCCAGCCAGGATCCCAGCTTCCTCTGTGATCCAACTGCCCCCTCCAGCGCACTCCTGGTTTATTTACAAACCCATCCCTCGCCAGAGTCTAAGCTCCTTGTTGTAGAACAGGGCCTGGTTCTAGATGTCCTCAGTATCAGATACTTGCTGGAACATTCTACAATGCTCAACCCTTTCCTCCTTCAGAAACAGCTCTCCTTCTTCCTTTGTGGCCTGCTATTTCAGGGTGTCTTTTGCTGTTTCCTCAGCCCTAACCTGATGGCACTCTCACTGTCTACTCTGTCCTAGTCTACTAGTGACACTTCCCCCAGAGTGCTCAGACTTGGGTAATAATTTACACCTAACTCCCCTATGATGGCTAAAGGAACTCATTATGGTATCAGGCATCACTTGAGGGTAGTTGACCTTTGCCCTAGAAAGCCTGTGAGATCCTAGTGGCCTGCAGGTGAAATGAGAATAAGACAATGAAGTCAGGCAGTGTTGGCCCCAGAGGCAGGTGGATCTCTGTGAGTTCCAGGCCAGCCCAGTCTACAGAGTGAGTTCCAGGACAGCCAGAGCTATACAGAGAAACCTAGTCCAAAAAACAAACAAACAAAACAAAACCCACTGTGAGGCATTTAACCACTTGCTTCCTGCTTTTATAAATTCACTTACTGCTGTGTGCCTGAGATGTTTGGTCTTTTTATTACTATACAATGGGAAAGAGAAACAACTGAAGGGCATAAAACAATTTTCTTGCCTAGTTGTGGATTCCATGGATAACTGTAATGTATACCTTTGCTATCCACCTGTATAAACCCTGCCTTTAGTAAACCCTTCAGCACAGGATGCTGTTTGGTTCTAAGGGTACTGTCCTTCTGCTAGCAGTAAGAATAAATTCATTTAATCTAAATCTGAATTGAATCTGAGTCTATGGCCTGTCCCAGTGCCTTTACTCACTAAGCCATCTTGTCAGTCCTCGGGAGAATTCTTGCTCCAGGTGGGGGTGCACCTGAGGAGCTCTGAGGTCTGTCAGGTGGGGGGTGCACCTGAGGAGCTCTGAGGTCTATGAAGGGAGGGAATGGGCTGCAGAGCAGCTCCAGGTGGGCATGCACCTGGATGAAGAGCAGACCAGAAGTGCTATGTTCTAGTCTTGTTGACAAGGAAAGAGCTGTTCTGGGAATACGAAGCTCACAACCTGTGAGACATCTCAGCAGAGCCAAGGAGAGTGGGAAGGGGATGGAGAGGAGCTGCCTGTGTTCTGCAAGTCTGTATATGATTCACTTCTCCAAATATTTTTAAAGTGCTTCCTATCGTTGTAGTACTTTTCTTGTCATAAAAATGCAAACCATTGAAACCCAGTAGGTCAAAAAACAAAGAGTTGACTGAAAAATAATTCCTAACCATGAGATAGAGATACCACTATGTGCCTATCTGTGTCTTTATTTCCTACAGACTCTGATCTGGGAAGCCTGAAGTCCACTTGGGTCTCTATTTAGGGTTAAGGAATGGCTCAAGGGCTGGAGAGATGGCTCAGCCATTAATATAAGGAATGGTTTGAGTTATGGGTGTATGCTTCCTCCTCTTTTGAGTCTGGCCATGATAAAGCACCCTTATTACTCACAATGTAAGCAATCATCAACGTCCTGGAGGGCAGCCATGGCCTCTACTCATCAGACTTAGGGCTCCCCCCAGAAGTGGTGGTATGGGAGATCATAAGGTCTATGCAGGGGAGGATTTCAAATATCTAGCAATTGGTGGGACACTAGCCATAGGTGATGTGCAAGGATGCTCAAGGCTTCTGCTGGGCTGGAGCTGGGGCTGGGGTCCAGGATGGGACATGCAGGAGCTGTGGTAGTGGAGGTCCTTGAAAGCCCAGGTCTCTACCAGGTATGACTGATCTCAGGTGCTGGCACAAGGGATGCCCTGCCTTTCTTGAGACATCTTCACCTCTGACCAGGCACCCCCTCTCCACACTTTTCCCCTGGCCCTGAAGTTCTACGTCATCCAACCTTGTCTGACTCTGAGTAGGTTTCCTGTATCACTGTCTCAGTTGCATCCATGCTTAACTCCGAGGGCTCGGGCATCTTTCTTGATAAGGCAAACAGCACTGCATCGTGGAGGCTGAGGAAGAGCTGGGCCTTCGTGATACCTTCATCAAAGAAATCATTCTTCTCAAATGACTTGACCACAGAGGCTGCAAATCAAACCCAGACATGCAGGGGTCAGCGCCTGGGAGCGGAGCCCCTGGGGTACAGGACACACACTCCCTCTTCACAGGGTGCAGGGTACTCACTGTGACAGCCTGAGATGAGCACCAAGATGTTGGCATTGTAGAAAGCATTACACATCTGCAGGGAGAGAGCGAGGTAGCAAGCGGGAATCAGAGAGCCCCATGCACACCAGAAGTGACCCACCCACTACCTGGGGTTTAACTCCTCATCAGCCATTCACTTGCTGGAGAATGTGTAACTCTTCTTTACAAGCCCATGAGCATTTTGGGAGTGGACTTCTGAGTGCCATGGCTGGGAACACAGGAACCAATCAGTGCATCTCATGGTGGGTGGGGAGTAATGGGAGGGTTTGCTCAGCTCCCAAGCAGGAAGACTATGCCTGTATGCCTGTGGTAATGTTTACACGAGGAAGCCTCAGGACAGATGGGGCAATGATGCAATGATGCTCCTGGGAATATTCTAGGTAGTGGCTACAAAGAGTTACCCTAATTTTTTTTTTTGGAGACAGGGTTTCTCTGTGGCTTTGGAGGCTGTCCTGGAACTAGCTCTTGTAGACCAAGCTCATACTCACAGAGATCTGCCTGCCTCTGCCTCCAGAGTGCTGGGACTAAAGGCATGTGCCACCACCACCCAACCAACCCTCCTTTTTAAGAAGACATATTTTTATTCATGTATGTGTGTGAGTCTGTATGTCTGTACTGTATGCCTGGTACTCATAAAGGCCAAAGAGGGCATTACATCTCCTGGAACCGGAGTTACAAATAGTTGTGAGCTGGGATGTGGGTGCTGGGAACTGAACCTGCAACCTTTGTAAGAGCTGTCAGTGCTTTCAACTGCGGAGGCACCTCTCCAGCCTCATGTTCTTTACTTTAGGGTAAGTGAGACATAAGGAAGTCCTCCAGCAAGAGATGCACAGAGCTGTTACAGAAGAATGAGGAAGCCTAGACTCTAGGCTGTAGATGTGGACCATGTATCTCACAGCTATAAGGCAAAGGGTCCCAGCTTGCCTGGATCAGAAAGTCTTCTGTGAAGGTCAGAAGTGGGTGCCAGGATGGGGGGCAGCAAGAGAGGGGTGAAGGGGGATGTCCTTCTGTATGCTGTCAATATATGTTTCTCTTATTGGTTGATGAATAAAGCTGTTTTGGCCAATGGACAGGCAGGATGTAGCCAGGTGGAGAATCCAAATAGGGGTAGAGAAAGGAAGTAGAAGGAGTGGGGGAGAGGCAATGCAGTTATTGGGAAGTTAGGATGCCTGGGCATTCTTCGGTAAGCCAAGACCACGTTTAGATGCATAGATTAATAGGAATGGGTTAAAAATTAAGAGAGACCTAGTCAATAAGAAGCCTAAGCCGTTGGCCAGACAGTCCAAACAGTTTATAATTAATAAAAGCCTCTGTGTGCTTATTTGGGACTAACCCGCTGCAGGACCAGATGGGGCAGAAGAATTCATCTACAGAGGGGAGGTGAGAAGAGCCAGGAAAAGCCAGATGCTTGAGGCTCTGAATCACCAAGACTTGAATTTTGAAAACAGGGCTGTTATGGGGGCTGCTAGGAGAACGGATGTCAACAGTGTGCCAGCCCGCAGTCAGGCAGCCTCTGATAGTGTGGGTTGATCCACTCTAAAGAAGCCAGTACAGCACGAGACTAGAGGCAGGCTGCCTGGCCTGGCTCAAAGGCCTATGGTGGGAAAGTTTGGAAAGGAGACCATCAAATGCATTTGGACCTAAACAGGAGGTTGGGGCTGGGCATGGCAGAGCACACACTTAACCCCAGCACATGGAAGACAGAAGTGGGCAGATCTCTGTTTGGCTAGGTCAGCCTGGTAGGTCTACATAGCAAGTTCCAGAGTTTCAGACCAGCCAGTGCTACATAGTATGAGACATAAAAACATTTAAAGAGAGAGAGAGAGACAGACAGACAGACAGACAGACTCTGAGAGTTCAAGGCCAGCCTGGTCTACAACGCAAATTCCAGGACAGCCAGGGATACACAGGGAAACCCTGTCTCAAAAAACAAACAAAACTAGATAAAGAATAAAGAAGATCTCTGGCCTAAACTCACTATGTGACTGATGATGACCTTAGGCCCCCAAATTTCTTGCCTCTGCGCTGAGATTACCTGGGCACCAACCCTAACCAGCCTCTCTGGTGCCCATATGGAACCCAGAGCTTCCTGTGCACTGAACGAGGGCTCTGCCAGCCGAGCCTCTTAGGGAGTGTGAAGGTTCCATGAGACAGGATCCTAGTCAGAAGAGGGCATGCCCATCACAGGAGTGCCACTCACAGTGGGGCAGATCCACGAGATCTGGGAGGGAGCATCCAGCATGTTTAAACTGGGGCCCTTGCAAACAGGAGTGTGATGGGAGGTGTCATTCTGTAAATATGTTTCTCTTATTGGTTAATGAATAAAGCACTGTTGGCAAATATGAAGGCAAGACAGGCGGGACTAGGAAACAAGGAAGATTCTGGTAGAGGAAGTAGAGGAGAGTCAAGATGTAGGGACTTGAGAAGGGTCCAGACCCTCTCTCCAGTAAGATAAGACCACGTGGAAACACTTGGATTAATAGAAATGGGTTAATATTTAAGATAGAGCTAGCCAATAAGAAACGCTAGTAACAGGCCAACAGCTTTATATCTAATACAGCGTCTCTGTGTGTTATTTGGGGCTGATGCGGCTGTGAGACCAGGCTGGCGGGAAAACTGCTCGTAACAGGAGTGGAACAGAGACAAAAGTCTGAAAGGAAAGAGCAGTAACCAGGCAGCCATGTGATCTGCTCTGTGAGGAAGACAGAAGCTTGTCAGAGAGTGGGAGGAGGGGGACCCTGCTGGTACCCCATAGGCAGGGCCAGGAGCAGCTGAAAGGCTGGGGGGGGGTGGCAGTCCTCTGTAGTAGTTCCATAGTAGGCGGGACATAGATACTGTCTTAGTGATATTAAGAAATGCCACCCCTGCCCCCCACCCTCACCCCTTTTCTAGAGAAATGATAAATGATTCATGCCTAGAGAACTAACTGCTCGAGTTAAAAAAAATCGGACCTGGTTCATTTCCTTTTTATTTTGATTGACTTTAAACCCCCTCAGTGTCACCATCTCTAGTCACTGAGCAATATGCCATGACTCACAGAATTACACTAGGCTGGGGGTATGTGTGGCAGGGGATCCGAGGCCGCGGCCAGGCCTCTGTGGTACTTACCTGCCTTAATACAACCGAAGCCTGACTATCCACATAGTGCACCATGGAAAAGTCCAGAATGATGGTGTGGATGCTGGGCTGGACACTCGTGTCTGAGTAAGGCATGATGACAGATCTGGATCTACTCTGTGCTAAGCTTTCTGAGGCTTCAGGCGGAGGGAGTGAACTGTTTCTTGAGGGGTTGTTGGACAGCCAGGTTTTCTCTGTGTCCTCGTAGCTCTGCCCTAGATTTTTCTGCGATGTGGAAGACACCGTGTAGGGGACCTGATCCTCGGACATGCTTTCACTCATGTCCCCATTGCTCAGGTAGGAGCATCGGATCAGGTTAATGGATGATTGGTCGTGCTCCTGCTTGTTTTCATATCGCTCTGTGTAGACAATCTGGGATGACAGAGAGGAGAAGGACCCGGGTGAGCCTGAATGACATCAGTCCTTGTAAACACAGTGTCTCCCCAGGCTCCCCCAGGTAAACACAGTGTGTCTCCCCAGGCCCCCCCTCATGTAAACACAGTGTGTCTCCCCAGCCTCCCCCAGGTAAACAGTGTCTCCCCAGGCCCCCCATACAAACACAGCATGTCTCCCCAGCCCCCCCATGCAAACACAGTTTGTCTGCCCAGGCCCCCTCCCATGCAAACACAGTGTTTCTTCCCAGGATCCCCCCATGCAAACACAGTGTATCTCCCCAGGCTCCCCCCTCACTCTCCTTGGAAGCTCTACCTCATTATGCACTTTTAAAACTTGATCATCTACCTCGTTATGCATTTTTTTTTAAACTTGGTTGTTCCACTATCACTTCAAGCTTACAACCAAAGCCATGTCATAGCTTGTCTCCTCACTGGCCCACAGACTCTTCCTCCCAATTATTTGTATCCACTAGTGACAGTCTATGACTTGAAGTTACCTTCAGTTCATTCATTTCCATTATTCTTGGGTCCCAGTGAGTCTCCAGTGTTTATTACAACTTCCTGTAAAGTGCTGAAAGTGCTTTCTTCCTTCCTTCCTTCCTTCTTCTTTTTACATGTGTGTATGTATGTATGCATGCATGCATGTGCCTATGTGTATTGTACAACATATGCACGAGGCCGAATATATCACATGCATACAGAAGTCCAACAGAGGGTGCCAGATCCCTAGAAGTGCAATTACAGGCAGTTGTGAGCCACCCTATGTGGGCACTGGACACTGAACCTGGGTCCTCAGGAAGAGCAGGCAGTGCTGCCACCCACTGAGCCATTTCTTCTCTGTCAGGCTTTCCTGGGCAACTGCTTGCATGCATGCAAGTCTTTGCCTAGCCTTCTTAGGAATAAAGTGGTTCATTTCTTGGTACCTGTTTTAATCTCCAACTGCCTCCAGTCTCCTGAGAGACCGGGGCAGCTAGTATACACATGCATGGACAGCACCAAGAGCTGCAAATGCCATGTGGTGCAAGGCCCTAGTATGGCCTCTGCATATGGGCTGTGATGATTGATCTTGTCATTGTGACTGGATTCACAGTCGCCGTCCTGTGCCTTCCTCCTCACCCTCCACAGTGTTGTTCCTGCCTGACAACATCAGCCTCAGGGTCCCGTCAAATCCTCAGGCACAGAGGACCTTCTATCTTCCAAGCTAACACACACGTCAGTGTCTCTTGCAGCAGCACAAATCCACTTGTCATGTGGTACTTCTGGACTTCTGAGTTCAAGCCACTCTCTGTTTACCAAAGTCATCTGAGTTGTTAGGGGCTAAACACTATTCAGAGGACGAACAACTCATAGAGTGCTATGCTTCACTATTCCTACCTAGTATACATTTCAAGCCGGGCTGAAGAGCTGGCTCAACACTGAAGAGCACCTGCTGCTCTCGAAGAGGAGCAGGGTTTGGTTCCCAGCATCCATTTCAGGTGGCTCACAATCACCTATAACTCTAGCTCCAGGACATCTGATGCTTTTCCGATCTGTGTAAGCACCTGCATATACACACACACACCATACATACATACATAATGTATATATACAATATATGCATATACACACACCCATACATACATACACAAGCATGTATATACACACCCATACACATCCATATGCATATACCACACACCAATATCCACATACCATATACACATATACATATATATACACATACATATACACATATATATATACACCATAAACACATATACATGCACACATACACACATACATTCACAAACATACATATGGTACACACACAAGCATGTGCACACACATATACACATACATAAATCAAAAGTAAAAAAAAATTCAAATTGTACCATTAGTTATCATCTAGAAAGGAAAAGAATATTAAATTATATGCTTAGATTATTCAACTATCAGAAATGTGAAAGGTGTTTACTTTATGATTGAAAAATACATTATATTTATGTCACATTAATGGAGAGTTGACTCCCTAATTTAATTTTACAAGCTTAGCCATGGACTGCTTAAACCTTACAGACATTCAGGGTGGTTCGATAGCACACATTTGTAATTCCAGGATTTGGGATATCAAGGGATGATTACTGTGAGCTTGAGGCCAGCCTAGACTACACAGTGACACCCTATGTCAACAACAACAAGCTGGGTGTGGTGCCATCCCAGCATTTGGGAGACAAAGACAGTAAGATCAAGAGCTCAAGATCAGAAAGGTATGGGGTGCATGCCTTTAATGCCACCACTTGGGAGGAGAAAGCAGTAGATCTCAGTGAGTTCAAGGCCAGCTTGGTTTACATAGCGAGTTCCAAGCCAGCCAGGGCTACATAGTGAGACCCTGAATACACACACACACACACACACACACACACACACACACACACACACACACACAATTAAAAGATAGCCAGGCGGTAGTGGCGCACACCTTTAATCCCAGTACTTGGGAGGCAGAGGCAGGGGGATCTCTGAGTTCAAGGTCAGCCTGGTCTACAGAGTGAATTCTAAGACAACAGAGCTACACAGAGAAACACTGCTTTGAAAAACAAAGAAAGAGAAAGGAAGCACGCGCGCGCGCGCGCACACACACACACACACACACAAAATATGTTGTTTGTGTCAAAGCCACTCTGCATTCTTGTCACTACAATTCCTCTATCCCCACCATCTCTCTCAACTTCACATGGCGTTCTCTCTCTCAATATTCCAGAGTCTATTTGGTGTTCTCTGCATGTGCGTTCACATGTGTGGAATGGGCTATTTGCCTCTAAAGGAGGAGGAGCAGGAAGGGCGGGCGTGACTCACCCTGGTCTCTGGCTCCAGCTCTTCACAGTCGCAGAAACACCTGCAAATCTTGTTTTCCGATATGGTGGTGTAACTCTCATTAAACAGGGTGAACATTTCCTCTTCTTTAAGAGGCATTCTCACCATATTGACCTGGGGGGCACGAGAGGGGTCACACCAGGGATAGGTGGTGGAGAGGGGGAGGAGGCCCCAGGGTGTGAGGGATGCCTGGCGGGCAGCAGGGCTTCACCTCTTTTAACAACTTGTGCTTTAGGTTGTACACATTGACAAACGTGATGGAGTTGCAGCACTGCAAGATTTTCACTCCAGGGATGAGCACCACCTGCAGGACAGGGCGAGGTGTTTGGCAGGGAGTAAGGACCACATGGCTTCATGGCTCCTCAGGAACCTCTGGCCTCAGTGGGCTGAGGGCTGGAAAAATCCCCCTCCCAATTCACTCCTGGCATGCGCGCTCTCTCTCTCTGCCAGCTCAGGAACTACAGTTGGATCTCTGCTTGCCACTGCCTCTGGAGTGCTGAGGTCAAAGGCAAGCAGACACCTCCATACCTGTGGCCCCTGCTTATGATGCACTCTTGCATTTCTCACCTATCTAACCTTCTTCTCCCGGAAGTTCATGGTTAAAGGGCCCTCTGCTGGCTGCAGGGTGTAAGGACACTACCTGTCCCCTGAAGCCTCATGCCTCCCATCGCCTGTGAGTGGGTGCAGTGCCTTGTGAAGGGCTGGGGCTGAGATGGCTATTCTCTCTACAATCCCCTTCTGTCTCTCTCTCTCTCTCTCTCTCTCTCTCTCTCTCTCTCTCTCTGTGTGTGTGTGTGTGTGTGTGTGTGTGTGTGTGTGTGTGTGTGCGCGTGTCCGTCCGTCTGTCTGTCTCTGTGTGTGCACTGAGGTGTAGAGGCCAGAGGATACAGTCAATGTCTTCCTCAACTGGGGTCCACTGTTTACTGAAGCAGAGCTCAGTGATTCTTTTAGTCTAGATACCCAGCTTGTGCCAGGAGTGTCCTCTTCTGCCTCCCCAGCACTGAGAACCCATCGAGCTCTGAGAAGATGAACTCCTCACACAGGCGTGGCACCGGCTTTAATCACTCAGCCAGCTCCTTACCTCCCGGTAGTCGTTGATGTTTCTGTAAATGTTGGTGTTGGGGATTTGACCCAGGACAAGGATCTTCGATCTGGAAGGAAATGCACTTGCCTTAGATCCCTGAGCCCTTTCCTTGCCGTGACTGTCCTCCCCTTACCAGAGGCTGAGTACCTGTGCGAACGGACAGTGATGACGAAGAAAGCAAAGACTAGTGAAATGAGTAGTCCAACGTCTAGTCCCAGAAAAATCGCGGAGGAGAATGTCACCATCCAAACAACCTTGTAGGAAAAGGGATGCAGGGAGTGGGGGAGGAGACATGAGAACGAGCAGCATGAAGGCGCCAGGCCTATCACAGAAGACTTGGCCCTAGAGGCCGTCTACTGGAGCTCTGATAGATTTCTGATCATTGCTCCCTTTACTTCTTTCCTGAACTCAGTGTCCCTGCATACAAAATGGAGGCAATGTTATCTACCTTGAGGATAGTAGGATGGGTTCACATGAGAAATCCCATTTGGAAAGCCAATCAGAACTCATGAAATGATAGTTATTTTGCATATGTATGTGGATGCTCATGTTGGTGTTGTAGTCATGTGTGTGCGTAGGTGAGTGTATATGTATGTACCTGCATGTGGAGATTAGAGGAACTATACACTTGGTGTTTTTCAGACTTCAGTCTAGAGGTCTCCACAGGCTAGGCTGGTGGCCAGCGAACCCCAGGAACCCCCACTGCCTCTGCCTTTCCAATGCTGGGATTCTAAGTGTGTGCCACAACACCCAGCCTTCTTATGTGGGTCCTAGGGTCTTTAGTGGCAAGAACTTACAGATGGAGACTGGCTGGTTCTGTTCCTTCTGTAGGCTCCAACTCCATCCACCCTCCCCCACTCCCTTCACCCTTCTCCACCCTCTCTTCCCCCTCCCCCACCCATACAGGCACACACACTCACACACACACACTCACACACACACACACACACACACACACACACACACACACACACACACACACACACACACACGGCATCTGTACTCACACAGTCATACTGATCCTGCCTCCACAGACTAGGTAAGTTGTAAATGGTTTCCAGGTAGGGTATCACATTGCTCAAGATGATCCCTGCCAGCACGGCCTGTGGGGGGGAAGATAAACCACCTTAACTGCCTTATTCTCCCTCCAGGGACAACATTCCCAAGTCTTCACAAAGGAACCCCAAAACCAGCCTTGCCTCTAGAAATGCTAGATGGATTTTTTTTTTTTTTTTTTTTTAATGAACAGCATGTCCAAGCTCTGACTCATGGTTCAAATAAAAAACTTTTTTCATTTTTCTCCCCTTGCATCTACAGTGTATCAAGTTCGACAGGCAAGGCTATGGCAAGGTCAGACCTGACTGATCATCCAGGACAGGGCCCAAGTTTGTGCTTGCTTTCTGAGTAGGCTCAATGAGGACAGCATAGTGTATCAGTAGGAGAAGGCATAGCATGGGCAGAGTCAGGTATGGCTTTTCCCCCCAACCCCTTTATTTATTTATTTATTTTACTTATTTATTGTTTTTTTTTTTTTTTTTTTCCCAGACGGTTTTTTTTTTTTTTTTCCTGTGTGACAACCCTAGCCTTCCTGGAACTCACTCTGTAGATCAGACTGTCTTTGAACTCACAGAGATCCACCTGCCTCTGCCTCCTGAGTGCTGGGATTACAGGTGTGTGCCACCACTTCCAGGCACTTTTTTATTTACCTAGTTTTAAAGATTATTTATTCTTGTACTTTATGTATATGAGTGCTCTGTCTTCATGTACACCAGGAGAAGGAATCTGATCCCATTACAGATGGTTGTGAGCCACCATGTGGTTGCTGGGAATTGAACTCAGGACCTCTAGAAGGGCAGCCAGTGCTCTTAACTGCTAAGCCATCTCTGCAGAGAGCCTGTAGCCAAGCTTTTAACAACATTAGAAAGGGGAGGCATATGGTGGTGAACTCCTTTTAATGCCAGCACTCAGGAGGAAGAGGCAGGCAGATCTCCGTGAATTAGAGGCCAGCCTAGTCTATAAAGGGAGTTGGTTCTAGGACAGACAGAGCAACAGCTCTCAAAAGAAAAACAAAAAACAAAACAAACAAACAAAAAAAGTAAACCAAAATCCAAAAAACAATGCCAGAAATTGTGGGGCAGCATCTTAACTTCACAGGGGTTTGTAGAATCCTTTCTTTCCTTCCTTCCTTTCTTTCTTTCTTTCTTTCTTCTTTCTTTCTTTTTTTTTTTTTTTTTTTATTGAGACAGGGTTTCTCTGTGTAGCCATGGTTGCCCTGGAACTCACTCTGTAGAACATGCTGGCCCCAAACTCACAGACATCTGTCTGCCTCTGCCTCCTGAGTGCTGGAACTAAAAGTGTGTGCCACCACCACCTGGCTGAATTCTTTTTCTTTTAACCTAAGGCAAGGAAGGTCTCCAGGAAATAAATCTCATCATAAAGTCAATATAGCCAAGTTGTGTCCTTTCTGACTACCAAGGGGAAACAGTCACTTCATTAGAAATTAATTATATTCCTACATGATTTCATTTAAAAGTACCTTTTTTGTTTCTTTGAGACAAGGTTTCCCTATGTACTCGGGCTACTCTGGAACTCACTACATAGACCAGGCAGGCCAACAGTCCTCCTGCCTCTGTATCCTGGGTGCAAGAATTATAAGTGTATGTCACCATGCCTGGTCTGTGTAATTTCCATCACTGAAGAAATAGCTATGGCTTACCTTCTGGTATGTTCTGTGTATTTGGGCATGAAACTATATTATTACTTCAAGTCACTTGGTTACGGCTGTAATAAGCACACATAGTATGGCTAAGGGTCAGGTCATGTCTCAAACACAGGGAAGAAGAGAGACATTGAAGGGGAGACAGCCAGCTGAACACAGAGCCAGGAGTCAGTCTGCAGGCCTATTTTCCAGCGCTGTGGATGACCAAGAGGCTGCATGACAGCAGACACAGAAGGCAGGCAGGCCAAACCTCCTGAAAAGAGCTAAGTGTCTGAGTCGCACTGGCCGTGGGGCTCATGCCTCTGAATCTGGTTCTCTTGTTCCTCACTGAGTCCCCACACATCAGCTGAATGTATAGACATCAGTCATGATCGCGTTTGACCACTCGTTATGAGTTTGACACGGTCTTGTTTCACCTACTGACATGGATCCCACATTATCATGTTTAATGTCCAGCCTTATGATGGGGACACTACATGAGTGTGGCTGTCTGAGTTGGTCCATGAGTTTAAGGGTACCTGTGTGTCTGTCCACATGCTTAGAGAACAGAGAAGCCCAAATGTCCCGATCTGTCACTCTTCACTGTACTCAGTATCCTCCTTGAACAACATTTCTCACTGGACCGGAAGATCATCATCATCATAATTTTTTTTTTAAAGCTAGGCTGGCTAGTCATCAAGTCCCAGCAATCCTCCTGCCTCTGCCTGCCTCCTTTTAGCAATGAGCTGACAGGTGCATGAGGTCACACCTGGCTTTTCCATGGGGGCTGACATGCTTACCCACTGAGCCACCTCCCTGGCATAGCAAGAAACAGGACTGGAGCCTAGGGACCAGGAAAATGCAACTCTCTGCATGAATGCTCTACCAAGATTCCACCTTTCTTTCAAGATGTATTTGTTTTTATGTGAATACGTGTTTGTCTGCATGTATGTTTGTGCACCACATGCATGAAGCACCTGAGGAGGCCGAAAGAGCACAATGAATCCCTGGGAACTGGAGGGTTTTGTTTTGTTTTGTTTCTTTTGAGACAGGGTTTCTCTGCGTAGCTTTCGAGCCTGTCTTGGAACTTGCTCTGTAGACCAGGCTGGACTTGAACTCATAGAGATCCGCCTGCCTCTGCCTCCCGAGTGATGGTTTAAAGGTGTGTGCCACCAACAACTAGCTTGGGGACTGGAGTTACAGGGAGCTATGAGCCGCCGTGTGGGTGCTGGGATCCAACCCCCTGGCCTCCTTAGCCATGGAGCCACCTCTCCAGCCCCCAAATCCCACTGTTCCTGACTTACTTGACTCACTCAGTCCCACTTACATTGGGCATGCTGTGGAAGAAGCTTCCCATCTTCACCATCAGGAGCACCATCACACCTGCGCCTACCAGAGATGCAAACTGAGGAGATAGAGCTGGTTGGAGAGAAACCATCAGGAGCAGTGCTGATCCCTGCCTGCAACTGAGGCCTTCCATTTGCTGGGAAGCTTGCCATGTGTTTTTCTTAAGAGGAGCTGGGGGTTCAGTATGCATGCCTTTTAGCATTTTAGTGAAAAGTTTGGCACATAGTCGGTACTTTTTAAGTACCTTTCAGGATTTGAGTGAAGCATTTGGCATCTAGTAGGTACTTTGTAAATGCCTTTTAGGATCTTAGTGGCACATTCAACACACAGTAGGTACTTTGTAAGTGCCTTTCAGAATCTGAATGGAGCATGCAACACATAGTAGGTACTTTATAAGTGTCGGTACCTACTTTGCTGACTGCAAAGTTCCAGTCTCCCCTGGAACCCTTGTCACCACTTGGGACTATGGATCTCCTAAGATATATGGCTTGTATTCCTTCAAAACTTCAGCCTCTCCTCATACAACTTAGAAACTCCACCCCCCCAAACAGACACCTCACTGACAGCCCCAAGTCCCACCCATTCTACTTCTATGTAAATAAATGCCCCATCTGAACCTGTGTTGTTGGGAGCTTTCACAACTTCCCATCTTCAATGGTGTTTCATCTTTTCTTTGTTTTTTACTTGAGACAGGATCTCATGATGTACCCCTGGCTGTCTTGGAACTCACTTTGTAGACCAGTTTGGTCTTGAACTCACAGAGATCCTCTTGTCTATGCTTCCTGAGTGCTTGGATTAAAGGTCTGAGGCCCATGCCTGGTGTGTTTCATCTTTTAAGGTTATTCTAATTTCATGTGGGTGAGAATCTGCCTGCTCTCATATCTTTGCACCATGTGTGTACCTGGGACTTGAGGAGCTCACAAGGAGATGATGGATATCCCAGAACTGGATGCTTGTGAGCCACCTGATGTGGGTACTGGAAATCAACCTGGGCCGTCTATAAGAGCAGACATGCTCTTGACCATTGAGCCATCTTTCCAGATCCCCAGTAGGGCTGGTAAGGAGTGCTGGGATTATAGGCCTATGATACCAATGATTTTTAAGACAAAGTGTGAGCAAATATTAAAGTGAGCCTTTTTGGGAACCAGCAGTCTGCTGACCCCGCCCCCGATGATGGGCGGGATGCTCATGGCCATGTCTTCTCTAAGTCATGACTTACCTGGCTGCTCAAGTTTTATCTGCCAGGGAACTCAGTTACACAAGCATGCGCAAGTTTCCCTTTTAAAGCAAGTGTGCCAAATGTGCCTCTCTCTCTTGCTCTTGCTCTCTCTCCTCTCTCTCCCTTGCTCTCTTTCCCCCTTCTCTCTTTCTCTCTCTCTCTCCCCTGCTTTCGGTTGGCCACCAGCTACCCCTCTTTCTCTCCCCACCTATCAATAAACCCCACGTGGGCGCTGAGTCGTGTTTGTGTTTCATAGGCAATAATTATAGCAAAAGAACAACATTGGTGCCGTCAGCCTGAGGCATTCGGGGACCCTGATTACGAACCAGCAATCCACATCCATCCACCTGTTCGCTGGAAATAACCATCCCACACCAGCTACAATTTGGTAAGGTGCCCTTTTTCATTGTAACTCGTTTTCTTGGGGTCTGGGATATTTTCCACGGGGTAAGTTGAGATTTCAGCATCAAGCCTTTCTGCCTTTGGACTGCTGAGTCCTTATCAGGCACTTTGCCCTTGGCCACTTTCTTAGGCTGATGAGTTCCAAAAATGATTGGCCAGTTTTTACTTCACCCATGGGAAATAAACCAGCCTAGATATTCCCTACAAAATAAGTCAAATTGGCCAAAATTACTGCCAGCGAACAGGTAGATGGAAGTTTTTTCTACCTCTCTGCTAAACAATCTCTTTCCCTAAACTTGTTTCTGTTCTCTTCCCACCACGCTAAAACTCTCCTGCCTGCCGCAGCCGCAGCCTGTCTCAGGGCAGGAACCTCTCTCCACCTAAAAGTGTCCCGTTCCTCTAGGCATCTTATACTCGAAGTTCAAATGTCTCACTCTCTTGTTTGTCCTCTCTGCTGCCCTTCTCCTTTGTTTCTTCTCTGTGCAGATGCCAGTGGCACACAGTGGGCTGGGCTGAGGCACCATCTGCTCAAGATACTCTGAGAGTTTTTCATTTTTCCCCACGAATGAGGTTTTTGGATTTTGTGCTGACTGGTGCATTCGTGTCTCGGACCCATGAGGGGCCTCTCGGGTTTTATACCCTAGCACTGCCCTTAGACTGGTACATACATTTCTCAGACCTACAGTAGTCTTTTTGGATGTTGTATCCCTTGGACTCCGGTGTCCTCTTAGTTTCACAAATCCTTCTGCCTCACTCGTGGAGAGAAAAAAGCCAACAAAATTATATCTCAAAACTTTGTGATTTCTGCCAGCTGTTGGGAATGTGTTTATGGCAGCCGCCATCTTGACCATGTGGCCTATCCTCACCCCACATGGTTCTTCCCTCTGCTACACCAGCCACCTAGGCAGAGGGAATCTAGCCAGCTTCTGCCATCAACCGACCTGTAATTCATTAACCTTTTGCCTTTTATTCTTTGTCTCTAGTTTCTTTTTCACTGACTATGTTACACATAGCTTCACACTCTAGTCCTTCTCATTTTTACACAGTCCTGTTTAATATATCTGTACATGTGATTTAAATTTAACTTTATATGTAAATGTAAGCTAACTCTATACAACTTAAAGTCAACTGTACCAAGTCTCAAATATTTCTAAATTGTTATGTGTTTTTAAATGACGGTAAACATTTAAGGTTATAAATGTCTATTTCAAGCTAACAAAATATTTATACCACCCAGTCCTTCCTGTAAGCTGTTTATAAAGGTTAAGCCTCTATTATCAAAGGGAGTTTTTCTCTACCTCTTTGTCCTTTACAGGTATAAGTCTAACCTACTAAGTTAAAACCAGTTACAGTCAGCTGGAGGGCTCTGAGTATAACATCCCTCCACAGCCTCTCAGCTTGGATCCAGTTTTCCAGACAGATTAATTAATTACAGGGATAAAGCCTTACCTATGTGCTTAAGGCAAATAACTAAAGACAAATTTTGTATACCAAGGTACACTAAACAGTCCTCAAATGCTCAGAGATCTAGAGAATATGGCATTTAAAATGTTTCATTAAAAAGCTTTTATAACAGAGAGACAGGCCAGCTGCTGGCACCACCCATTTCCTCCAAGAAGACTGATGGACACTGAAGAAGCTCCATCCACAAAAGTGGCAACACTAGCCACTGAGCAATCCTGCCTTTCATCTCAACTGCTGCAAAGGGCTCTAAGGACTGTGGACAAGAGGGCAGTGGAATCGACTTTCTCCCCGTTGCTTGGGCCAACGGTAGGTTACGTCTTCGAAAAGCTCCTAATCCACAGGGCTCATGCCATCAGCAGAAGGCAGACGTCCTTAAAGCCTCTAACCTCAACAACTGGAGGACCTGGGGGTGGCTGTCCATGCTGCCAGCTAGTGAGTCCCTGTTACTCTCTAATCATTCAGGTAAAATTTTATCCTTCTCAAGAACTCTGATGCTTTTGACGACTGGTAGCTTTGTCAGCTTAAAGCAGCAGCCAAGGCTCCAACTATTACAAAACAGATTTCACAAACGGGTATTTTAAGGTTGCTACTGTTTATAGTCTTAACATTAATCATAAAGTTTTAATGAGCTGCTAATCAATTCTGACAATACTAAACACCATACTATGCCACTATACGATCATATCTCTAACTATAAGCTCACAATTAAGGTGCTTTTCATTGTGCTAAAAATCTGTATGTGTTAATTCTTTGAGCCAAATCATTTCTAACATGAGTATGCTGCTAATGTGTCTTAATATTTATGTTTTCACACACTCAAAGGTTTCTTGTAAATTCAAGGGAGCTGAATTGGACCCATCCAAACAGGTCAGATTCACTCCAAATAAATATTCAACCTTTCCCTGGTCCCAGGAATCCCTTCCCTCACCTCAGGAACCCCTCCCTCATCTTACAATTCTCCCCTCAAGTACCAGGATCTAGAAAAAAACTTTGTTTTCTAAACTTAACCTTGTTCTCTGTTCTGCTAACATCTTGCCAGGTCTCAAAAAGATGCCAGAGTTCCATACTGTCAGGCCTGTGATGAAACAACCAGCTACCAGGATGTGGCAGCACCCCAGCTTTCTCATTCCCCCAAAGAGCCCCAAGTCAGCAGGAAGTAGTCTTGAAAACTTAATGTCCTTATTCCCTAACCTGCCATGCCCAACACCCACCTTTTTAAAAACAGTTGGGAACCAGCAGTCTGCTGACCCCGCCCCCTGATGATGGGTGGGATGCTCATGGCCATGTCTGCTCAAGCTTTACCTGGCTGCCAGGGGACTCAGTTTCCCTTTTAAAGCACCTCTCTCTTGTTCTTGCTCTCTCTTTCTTCTCTCTCCTGCTTTTGGTTGGCTACCAGCTTTCTCTCCCCTCTATCAATAAACTCCACGTGGGCGCTGAGTCTCGTGTTTGTGTTTCATAGGCAATAATTATAGCAAAACAACAACAAGCATAGGATCCAAACTCTTCCCACAGAGTTTCTCCACTGACTAGAACATTACAATGAAATCAACCCAGATGAAGCCCTTCTACAAACAGACATACAGACAACCATGCGGACAGAAGAGCATCTCTTTCCTTATGGGGATACACTAGGGATGAGATTCCTTTTCAACACACCTGCTGTCTTCCTCCAGATTTGTCTTGGATAATAGTCCTGGCCATGGCACCCGTAAACACAGAAGATCTGAAGAAGGAGCTGACCACGTTGCAAAGGCCAATGGCTATCAAATCCTGTGAACAAACAGCAGAGCCTTTGAGCCCACTTTTGTTAAGGAATCTGACTTTAAGCTAGAGGTACACTGCTTGGTGAGGCTGAGGTCAGGGTTCTTAGCACTTCCAACAACACTAGGATGTAGCCTCAGGAAGCACACAGGGAGGACTGATCCGACTTTTTACATTACACTGTGTCTCTGCCCTAGCCTCTGACCATAGGGAAGCACTTTCTGACTTCTGCCTTTCTTCTTTCTCATGACCCCTGGGACTCGAACATGCAGAGAAAGATCAGTGCTGGCCTCTCCCCCTCTACACTAACCTACGTGTCTGGCTGGGACACCGCTTGCTTCTGTGTCCCTCTTGACATTTCAGGAAAGTACCACTTTCAGAGTAGTTGGAGACTTTTCCTAAAAAATAAAAGCAGAAGCCAAAGGCAGGGCGTTGTCATCATTTGCAAGCAGCCTGGTTCTGTGCGTGCTGTCTGGTGGCACTGGTGCCCCAGCATGCATCTGGTTTCTGCAGCCATAAGGCAGGAAGACAGGCAGTCTGCTAGCTCAGCGTCATAGGTTATCTGTCACTCGCTATCATCACTGTCTCGAGACAGGGTCTCGTGTAGCCCAGGCTGGCTCCGCTTGCTTTGAAGCTAAGGCTGACCTTTAACTCATGATCCTGCCTCTGCCTCCTGAGTGCTGGGAAAGCAAACACATGCCACCCCACCTGGTTAATTCCTTTGCCTTCCTGCACGATAGCCATACCAGGGAATAATGCTTATATGAATTCAAGTGGGTTCAAAGTCACACACCCTCTGCTGCTCAGGCACTTTATGTGATTACAGTCCAACTTATTGAAAGTGATTCTGGTTAAAGGGGAACATACCCCTTGTATTGGTGGAAGGGTTGCACCAGAGAACAGTCATATCGGAGAACAGAGGTGCATGGTCTCCCTCACCTGGTTGGAATTGATTCTGTAGTTATGCAAGCTGGCAATCTTCTTGCCCAGAGATATGAGCAGAAAGGAGCTCACTAAAGATAAAGACATGGCTTGTAAAATAATTCTGGTAAGGGTGCCGAACTCTGGAGTCTCGGGGAACACGAAGCTGGAACAGAAGAGTGGAATTACGGCTGGGTGGCAAGGAGTCCCTTACTGCACCTCTCCCACTCTCCTCATGCTAGGCAGGCCTTGGGCTCCCGACGCCACCTGGTTTTCCTTCTTTTTTTAAAATTTTATTTCATTTGCATTAGTGTTTTGCCTGCATGTATGTCTGTGTGGTGGTGTCAGATCTTGGCGTTACAGGCAGTTGTGAGCTGCTGTGTGGGTGCTGAGAATTGGACCTGGGTTCTAAGGAAGAACAGCTAGTGCTCTTAACCACTGAGCCATCTCTCCAGCCCCTGTTTTTCCTTCTTAACAATGAAGGACAAACAGCAGCAGAGACAACATCTTGCCCAAGCAGCCAATGAACTGAGCCAAGTTACAAAACAGCATCCTCTGTGTTTCTCTGGCCCTAGTTCCCACCTTATCATGAAGGCAAGCACCAGATGTGATTGGGGGGAAATATCTCTGCTGTTGTCTGAGAGCGTTGGACCCTGCATCAGGATGCTTTAGAGCTAAAAGAATCCATGAGTCCCTTCTATCTACACTCTTCTGGACGGGGTCCTACTAACTGCCTTTCTTTCATTCAGGTATATACAAATTCCACCCACACCTGCTCTCCTGCAGTTTCTCACTTTTTTTGCTTTGTTTTTACTTTCTGAGTCAGAATCTCAGGTATCCCAGGCTGATCTGGAGTTCCTGGTCCACCGTCTGTACCTCCCCAGGGCTGGGGTTACAGTTGTACTTTAAAGAATGAATCTTCCAGTATGTCAACAAGATGGTAAAAGAGCAGTACAAATGACTACTGTATGCCAATATTTGATAATTCAGAATAAATGAGTGAGTACTTTGAATGACTCAGATCCATGAAGTGTTCTCCGGTAGAGACAGACAACCCAAAGCAGAGACAAGGATCACACAGTGTGACCGTTGGTGGCTACTGTCAACTTGAAGGATCCAGTCACCTGGGAGGTGCACCTTTGGGTATGTCTGGAGGATTCCCTCCACTGCTGTAATTAAGGTGGGAAGACTTGCTCACTGTGGGTGGAGCCAGGACTGTGAGTGGCCGGCTTTAAGCTCTGCCACCCAGACCTCCTCCAGCATGAGAGGCTGTACACTTGCAGTATATACTACACTGAACCCTTCTCCCTTAAGTTGCTTTTGTCGGAGAGTATTTTATCAGAAGAAAGTGACAGAGATGCAATAAGAGTTTTGTTTAAGGACATACAAGCTGGGCATGAGCTTTTGCTTGTAAAAACCCAGAACCCGGGAAGAGGAGTCCGGATGATCAGAAGTTCAACACCAGACTTCAAGCTTTAGGCTGCCTAAGATCCTATCTCAAAAAACAAACTTTAAAAATAGCACATTTAGGAAGTGGAGAGATGGCTTAGAGGCAGAGAGCAATGGCTGCTCTTCCAGAGGTCCTGAGTCCAGTTCCCAGCACCCACAAGGTGGCTCACAGCCATCTGCAATGAGATCTGATGACCTCTTCTGGTGTGTAGGCATACATGCAGGAAGAACACTGTATATATAATAAATAAATAAATCTTCAAAAAAAATAGCACACTTAAAACTGAATTATAAGTCAGTAGCTTCCCACAGTGAAACCCCAGAACTAAAAGTCTGGGGAAGGGGCCCTGGAGTGCTCTCTTGCTGGCAGAACAGGGACAGAGAGCATCAAGAGTCATCCTTGGGACCAGGAACCTGCTGGCGTTCATCTGTCTCTGTTGTAAGTTATTTCATCCTGAATATACATCTATTCAGCCTATCTGTTTTTCCTGATCCTTAATAAACCACAAGATATATATATGTGTATATATATATGTGTGTGGGGGGTGTATATACATATACATACATACATATATATGCTAACACATTCCTTTAAACCTAATTTAGGAACATGGATATGTTCCATCTTTCATTTCTCTATTTTTGTGGTAGACTGGTTTTTTTGTTTGTTTGTTTGTTTTTGTTTTTTTTAGTGTTTATGTTTGTTTTTGTTTTTGGTTAGCTTTGCTTTTTCATGACAGGGTTTGTATTGCTTTGGAGCCTGTCCTGGAACTAGCTTTGTAGACTAGGATGGACTCGAACTCACAGAGATCTGCCTGCCTCTGCTTCCTGAGTGCTGGGATTAAAGGTGTCTGCCACCAATGCCTGGCAATAAACATTTTTATAGAACAAATAATAGTTTAATAGCTTATCTAATTAAAATTAAATGTTAGTTCGTGCTTAAATTCCACTCCTCCCTTTTTGTTCATTTATGAAGTTGTGTAAGAAAGGGATGATTCTGAAGAATAAATAGGACATACAGACTACAACACAAATTCAACAATACAAGACACTATTTTTCCCTCCTACTGTTGTCTGTGTCACTCAATTCTTTTTTTTTTTTTTTCCGAGACAGCGTTTCTCTATGTACCCTTAGCTGCTCTGGGACTCATTCTGTAGACTAGGCTGGCTTTGAATTCATAAAGATCAGTGCTGGGTTTAAAGACGTGCACCACCACTGCCCTGTGCCCAGTTCCTATCACCAAGTCAGGACTAAAATGAACACAGAAGCTGGGTATGATAGCACATCTATAGTCCCAGTGCTTGGGTTGTGCATGCTGGAGGATCAGGAATTCAACACTGGCCTGGACTACCTGTATCACAAAAGCCAAAACCACTACCCAAAGCAACAAGACAGAAAACAACAGCAGGAAATATGAGCATAGCAGGAATTAAGTTAGAGTGTCCAATTTTACCAGCTCCTGGGCAGCCATGGGTTAAAAAACAAGGAGGGGTGGCTCAAATAAAGAATATGCAAAGCAATGTTTAAATTGGATTTCTTGAAATGCTTTCTTCTGTACATGTGAATCTTCCAGTGAAAGATAAGCTGAAGTGGGCTGTGTGCTTTGGAAGCCATCAAGAATATAAACCAGGGGGCTGCAGAGGTGGCTCAGTGAGTAACGCCAAGCTGACATCCTGAATATGATTCCTGGAACTAACACAGTATAAGGAGAGAGCCAGTTCCCACAAGTTGTCCTCTGACCTCCACATGCTTGCTGTGGCATGCACACCCTCCCCCCCCCCCACGTAAAGGAAAAACAACAAAAGAAATATTTAAAAAGAATCAAGTTGCTGGGCATGGTAGTATGCACACCTCTGATCCCAGCACTCTGGAAGTTAGAGGCAGGCCAGCCTGGTCTACAGACTGAGTTCCAAGACAGCCAGGGCTGTTACACAGAGAAACCCTGTCTCAAACAAATAAACAAACAAAAAAGAATGCAAATACATTGAGGATTGGTATAGTCATATAATCAAATAATTATCATCATAGACTTTAGAATTATACAGAAATGAGTTCAAAGGTAGTTGTGCCACTGTCTGGCTGTGTGTCATCTAAATGTGACAAGCCTCAGTCTACCCTTTTGTACTACTATGGGAGACAGATGAAGTAAATATGCAAATGTCCATTCCATCACTGCTCTTGTCACCTGACTTTCCCTTGTACTCCTTGCGCATGGTGTATAGGTGGTGTCTGCTCGTGTCTCTGTTACTGGAAAGGATTTCAAATGCAGTTGGCCATCACTGCATTTCACAGAGAACATTTAGGGTATGGGCCTGATTGCATAAGACAGCCTGCCTGTTGTTACCCTGGAGTTCAGCCAGTGACCCCAATGCTTTGGGATTCCCCTTTGTGCAATGTGGAGACATGAGCAGTGTTCTTCAAAAGTCTGCCTGTGGGTCAAGACACTGCAGTCTAGTCCTTTCTTGTCAATTCAAAAAGGTAACTGTCCAATGTCAGCAAGAGTCTGCCCTATAGTCAGTCCTTCCAGAGATGAAAGCAAATGTGGAGAAGTGGTTAGTCCCTCACAGCTGCTGGCTTATTCAAAGAGAACCAACGGAGAAGAAAGCATGGCTCAATGGCAGAGTGCTTGCTTGGCTTGTGAGAGGTCCTAGCTTCAGTCCCAGCACAAGAAGAGAGACAGGGTCAGGAAGGGGAGAGCTGCTGCAGCCTACGCTCAGATGTGTGACAGTGAAGCACACTTCTCCCCCGAACGTGGGATCTACCAGAGATGCTAGAAGGGGGAGGGGTGTCTCATGCAGCCCAGGCTAGCCTTGTGATTGATGTGTAGCTTAGGCTAGCCTTTAACTCCTGATCCTCCTACCTCCACCCCCCAAATGCTGGGATTATATGTGGGCAACACATGCTTGGCTTTCTTGTTAGGTTCTTGAAAGTTAATCAGACAAGGGTGGGGCTCTGGGAGACCCATAATGGCTACAGAAAAAAGAATCAAGTCTCTGGCATTCTGGGCATCCAGCAGGTGTCTTAGTAAGCTGGCAGGCTCTCTTATGAGAAAAGTGATGGGCTGAGGAAAGAGGAAACAGGGGATGTGCTGGCCGGCTTGTTCGCAGCGTCCGTTCTGTTCTACACTTGATCTTGGCTGAAAGGCTGAGAACTGTACCTGTGTTCTAGACAGACTTAGCTGTGGCCAAGGACCACTAGGAAAGCCTGTGGGCCAGGCTGTGGGGAGAGAGGCCTAGAGAGAGAGCTGGCTGAGAAGGGAAGAACAGCTGGCCACCAAGGCATGCCTGCCATCCCAGCACTCGAGGTTGAAGCATGAGGACTGTGAGTTCAAGGCCAATCTGGGCTATAGTAAGACCCAGCCACAAAATAAATAAATAAATAGATAGATAAATAGATAAATAGATAAATAAATAAATAAATAAAGGAAAATCAGTCTTGAAAGATAGAATGACACCAGGAGGCAGAGGTACTTGGATCTCTGTGAGTTTGAGGCCAGCCTGGTCTATAGAGTGACTGACTTCCAGGGCAGCCAGGGCTGTTACACAGAGAAACCCTGTTTTGAAAAACCAAAACAAACAAACAAATAAACAACAAGAAGAAAGGAAAGTGAAATGACTGACCTATAAGGAATCATGTTAATCAACATCTTGCTGTTTTCTGTAGCCATGCTTATCTTGTTTGTAAGTACGGAGAAGCCAAGAATCTGTTGGTATTTAAAAGGAGAAGCATATGATTAAATTCTGTGCATTGTTCCCAGGGCAAGGTGCAGAGGCCCCAGCATGACAGAGAATGAAATGTGGGCCGTCCTGACGGGAACATCAACAGAAGCCTTCTGCTTTGATTCTCCAGGCTCCTTTTGGCACAGGAACCAAAACAGCGGCAGCCCTGGTCTCTGATACACAGGGTGGGGACAGAAGGATGCTGGGGGCCTCTCTCTCTACCAGCTTCCAGCACAGGCATCACCAATGCAAGTGTCCCAAGAGCCCACAGGTCCCGTGTCTGGCTAATCAGAACTCCAGGTTCAGTAAGAGTCTCTAAAGAACAAGGAGGAGGGCTGGAGAGATGCCCAGGGCTGAAGAGCAAGTGCTTCTTCTTCTTCCAGAGAACACAAGTTCAGTTCCTGGCACACAAATCACTGGCTCAGAACCGTCTGTGCCTGCTGCTCCAGGGGACCCAAAACTTCTTCTGGACCCTGAGGGCACTTATGTTCACATGTACATGCCCCCAATATATGCACAGACAGAGAACTTTTAGAAATCTTTTAAAAATTAAAAGAAAAGCCAAGGTAGAGAGCAACAGAGGAAGAAACCTGATTTCAACCTCTGGCCTCTACATGTGTTCACATGGGCAAGTGCTCTCAAACACACATGTGCATACATACACACCACACATATAACACATTTTAAAAACATAAGCATTTGGGTAAAGACTATTGGTACAGCCTGGGGCCTACAGTTAACAATAGTATACTGTACACTTAAAAACTGGGGAAGCGATAGATCTTAAATGTTATCACAATGAAAACATGGTCCCTGGCCATGGGCTTTGTGTCTGTAGCTGGCCATGGGCTCTCTCTCTCTCTCTGTCACCCCAAAAGTTGAGCGTAGGCTGAGAGTTGGAGGCCAGCCGGAGCTGACTAGTAAGACCCTGTTTCAAATAAACAAAAACAAAGGAGCAAAGGAGAGACTTTATGTGGTGGCAGAGGTGCTGAGCAGCCTGACTAAACGTAACTATAACATGCCAAAACCTTTCTTGGGCTCAGGTATGCCTGAGCAAAACCCAAATTTTAAAAAATGAAAACACATGCCTCATTTAGAAGGTCACAGCACTTGCTGGGTGCTAGTCTGATGATCGGAGTCTGATCATTGGAAGTCACCGTGGAAGGAGAAGGCAGGCTGACCCCACCAAACTGTTCTCTGACCTTCACACACACACACACACACACTGTAGAACTTAACGTGCTTGTGTGCTCGGCATACACATAAGAATAATAAATTAAAAAAATAAAATAAAAATAGAGTATTTTGTAGTCAGGTGTGATAGCACATGGCTGGAGTCCCAGCACTTGAGAAGCTAAGGCAGGGGGACTGTTAATGAATTTGAGGCCAGTCTGGGCTACACATCGATGCTCTATTTCAAAATACCAGTGAGAAGGGGTGAGGGAAGGAGTAAGGGAGGGAGGGAAGGGAGGAGAGAGACAGAGAGCAGAGAGACAGAACTTTACAAAAATAGCATACATTAAAAACTGTTTTCAGGGGACTGAAGAGAGGGCTCAGTGGTTAAGAGCACTGGCTGCTCTTGCAGAAGGCCTGGGTTCAATGCCCATTACCTACATGGCAGCTTACAACCATCTATAACTGCAGATCCAGGGGATCTGATCCCCTTTTCTGACTCCTCAGGCACTAGCATGTGTGCGGTGCCTTGCAAACATACAGTAAAACACTCATGCACATAAAGATAAATAACTCTTAAACAAAACAAAAACCCTGTATCAAGTTTGACCTGACTCAATATGTTTCCTTACAATTCTTTTTAAAAGTGACTTACATTGTTCTTATCTGTGCGTTTGTGTGTATGGTGTATGTATAGAATAATGTTCATGGACCCAGGAGAGGATATCCAGTTCCTGGAGCTGCAATGGGGTCCTACACCTCTGGAGGCAGGTCCTGGGGCCTAACTCAGATCCTCCAGGGGCAGCAAACACTTTTTTCTTTGTGTTTTTTGTTTGTTTTTGTTTTGTTTTTTTTGAGTGTGTATCTGCAGCCACTCATGGACACCTACCAGAAACAGCTCCATGGGGAACTCAATGGGGTACCGGTTGAAGGAAATGCGGATGCACTTGTTGATTCTTAGAGCCACCACAGCAGTGAGGAACAGCAGGATGCTGGTGGAGTTGGCTTTGGGGAGAGCTATGCAGTAGTTGATTATGTTCTGAAAGAAGAAGACATTGCGGAGGCTTCCTTAGGGACGTCGTGGTGGCCAACATCTAAAAGCAGGCATTCTCCTCAGATTCAGGGGCAGAGAAGAGCTGCTGGGCTCCGCTGGAACACTGAGGGCAGGGGTGAGGGCTGTGTGGTTTGGGTAGCTTTTCTCCATATAGGGATTGAATTTAGGGCCTCACTTGTGTTGGGAAAGTGCTCCTCCCCTGAACTACATTTCAGAGAGCCCTCTATTTTATTCCTTCGACACAAGGTCTCATTAGATTGCCCATGCTGGCCCTGAACTCATCTTGTAGCACAAACAGGCTTTGAATTTGAGATCTTCCTGCCACAACCTCCCAAATGAGTGAGATTACAAGCCTGAGCCACCAGATTTACTTGGCTTGATATGTTTTGTTTTTATTTTGGTTTTTAAAGCAAAGAGTAGACATTCAAGAAAGGTAATAAAGTTGAATAAGGAGAGAATACTTTATATGTCTCATTGTAAGGGAGAGGACTCAGGAATCTATCTTGGGGGGTTCGAGATTCCTGGCTGGCCCGGAACTTGCTATATAAAAAAGTGTGGCCCCAAAATTACAGAGATCTGCCTGCCTCTGCCTCCTGAGTATAAGAGTTCTTTCTATTTGTTAACCTATCCACTATTATTTTTCAGGCTATGTCTGTTCTTTAGCTGAACTTCTGTTTCAGTTTTGCATCCAGGAGCTACTCAAACCCTCTGTGTATTTAGGATACAAGTGATAGGGAGAGCTATGAAATAGTAACTTCATAACAAAATTTATTTATTTACTTATTTTATTTTTACATTTAGTTCCTTATGAATGTGTACGTGTATATGTATATACACAAATTTTGGTAGTCCATTCTCTCCTTCCAGTAGGCAGGTTACAGAGATGCAGCTCAGGTTTACATACTTGCTGGCAGTCAACTTTACCAGCTGAGTCATGACACTGACCACAGGGCCAATGTTTTTTTTTTTCTTCTTCTTCTTCTTTCTTTTTTTGGACAGGGTTTCTCTATGGATCCCTGGCTGTCCTAGAACTCACTTTGTAGACCAGGCTAGCTCTAAACTCAGAGATCCACCTGCCTCTGCCTCCCGAGTGTTAGAGTTAAAGGTTTGAGCCACTACTACCCTGCTCCACGGACAAATTTTAATGCAAACCATCTAGCTTAAAAGGCTGAGCTGAGCCAGGCAGTGGTGGTGCATGCCTTTAATCCCAACACTCAGGAGGCAGAGGCAGGTGGATCTCTGTGAGTTCGGGGCCAGCCTGATCTACAAAGCTACACAGAGAAACCCTGTCTTGAAAAACAAACAAAAAAAAGTTGTTGTATGTGAGTACATGTTCCAGCCCTCCTATAGATGAGCAAGACCCTGAATCTACAAGAGGTGGAGTTACTTCTGGGTCCCTCTTATCCTTCTGACACAGCAGAAGTTTGTCTACTTGGGCCTACTTTCCTTTCTAAGCCAGAAGAGGGGTGCATGAACTCTGGGAGAGGTTTGGGGTTACTCACATAGAAGAAGGAGATGGGACCAGCGTGGAAACTGACCATAATCCCAAAGATGCATGTCATCTGGGCCAATATGATATGTAGTGCCACAGCAGCTAGGTAAGCACTGACTGCAGCCTCCGGAAGGTATGTGGCCACAAAGCCCATCCCCAACATACCCATTGACAGCTGTGGGGGTTGGAAGAAAAAAAAAACAAAAACACAGAGACTCAGGTCATCCTGCCAGCTAGTTTTATATCACCTTGAAATAGGCTAGAGTCCTCTGAGAGGAAGGAGCCTCAGTTGAGAAAATGACACAATTGAGAAGATGATGGGGGATGTCCTTCTGTATATATGTTTCTCTCATTGCCCAGTAGCCAGGCAGGAAGCGTTGCCGGGGCTACCAGACTAGCAGAATTCTGGGGAAAAGAACATGGAGAAAAGCTGCCAGGGAGATCCCATGTAGCCACCAGAGGAGCAACAGGTTTGGGCATTCTCCAGTAAGATGAGGCCATGTAGAGATACACAGAGTAGTAGTTATGGGTTAATAATTAAGAGAGAGCTAGCCAATGAGAAGCCTGAGCCGTTGGGCAAACAGTTTATGTTTAATCTAAGCCTCAGTGTGTTCACTTGGGACTGAAGGGCAGCGGGGCTTGGCGGAACAGAAACTTCCGTTCATAGTAAGAGCTAGTTGTAAGCAAGCCTGTTGGATATTTTCTTATTATTTAGTGATTGATGTGGAAGACACAGCCCATGGTGGGAGGTGCCATCCCTGGTCTGGTGGCCCTGGGTTCTATAAGAAAGTAGGCTGAGCAAGCCATGAGGAGACTCCTCCATGGCCTCTGTGTCAGCTCCTGCCTCCAGGTTCCTGCCCTGCTTGAGTTCCTGCCTTCACTTTACTTCAATACTGAACTGTTCTATGGAACTGTGACTGAAATAAAACCCTTTCTTCCCCAAGGTGCATCTATCATGGTGTTTCATCACAGCAACAGTAGCCCTAACTTATAGTCATCAAGTCAGCAATACCATCAATCTGACCCCTCAGGAGCCCCATGGGTCTGCTCAGAAAAGACCAGGGGTGCCTTGGAGAACTCGCCAGGCTCTCTTTCCCCAGTGAATGAGGATCCTTGGGTGTTGACTCAGAGGCTCCCAGCAAGCACCAGCCCACACCCTTCTTTGTCTTCTGAAACATTGGAAGCTGTTAGGTTCTTTCCCTGGACTATCTGCCCTCTAGATGGACTGACAGGCTCGAGGCACATCTTTTCCAAAGGTTTTGGGTCTGAGCCCCTCTTGCCTCTGTGAGGAATGTGCTCTTTCAAAAAGGAAACTACAGCAAAGAAGGACTAAGAAGGAGACTGTGGTGCACATCTGAGGTTCAGTACTCAGGAGGTGGAGGCAGGAGGGTCAGTAGTTCAAGGTCATCTTTGACTATATAGTGAGTTCAAGACTAGCCTGGGTTATGTGAGACCCTGTCCCAAAACAAGCAAACAAACCCGAGTGCCACATCAAACTTCCTGGCCTTGTGATTCCTGTGTATTGAGAATGATTCACCAGGGGAGGCTGTGGTGGTGCATGCCTTTTTTTTTTTTTTTTTTTTTTTTTTTAAGAGATTTACTTATTATATGTACAGTGTTCAGCCTGCATGTATGCCTGCTGTTGCCAGAAGAGGGCAATTTGTGTGTACCTTGTGTCTGTTGTGTCCAGAAGAGGACTTCGGATTCTCTGGAGCTGGAGATATACATGGTTGCGAGCTGCCACGTGGGCGCTAGCAATCAAACCTGAACCTTCTGCAAGAGCAGCAAGTGCTCTCACCACTGAGCCACCTTTTCGCCTCATGCAGAAGCCTGCCATTTTCATTGAAATTTCCTAGGGGAAACCAGATGTTTTTGGGGGTGCTCAGAGAGAAATCACTGTGACTGCAGACACATCAGTTACAGAGGGGCCTCTTATAACAGCTGAGTCAGTCACTGTGCTACTGTGACCAAATGCCCAGCGCAGCTTGGTAGCAGGAGCATGCAAATGGCGTTCCCTGCCCACTCACATCCCACAGAACAGGAAGCAAAGAGCGGGCAGGAAGTGGGACTGGCTGGCAAAACCTCCAGGCCTGCCCAGGAGCCCAATTCCTCCATGGGGCTCTGTCTTCTAAAGGTTTCAGAGCCTTCCAAAATAGTGCCACCTGCTGGGGACCAAGTGTCCCCTTGAGGGAGTCTACGAGGGAGCTTTTCACATTCAGGCCCGCTCTTTAATAACTCAGAGACTCAGAGCCTACCTGAATAATTCCAGTCAGGAATGTCGTGGTTGCCACTATGCTTAAGGACCCATTATAGTTCACATAGAAGGTCGGCTGAGAAAAGTCGTCCTTGACAAACGTTCCCATGATCAGGTGGCCATTGTTGAACGGCCTCTCCTTCAGAACATTGATCATCAGAGCGCTCACAAGGAAGAAGGGGCCTGAGGGAGAAGTTTGAGAGATAGACAACAAGTCTAGAAAAACTGAATTATTATTATTATTTTTAAAAGAACTATGGTTGGTTCCATTCTCTTTTTATTTTATTTATTTATTTACTATGTACAGTGCTCTGTCTGCTTGCATGCCCAGATCTCATTACAGATGGTTGTGAGCCACCGTGTAGTTGCTGGGCATTGAACTCAGTACCTCTGGAAGAGCAGCCAGCGCTCTTTACCTCTGAGCCATCTCTTCAACCCCTGGGTTATTATCGTTGTTGTTTAACACATTATTGAGAAGGAAAAGAAGACGAGAATGGGGGCTCCACAGGTTTAGAGCTGGTGGTCCAGGAGTTTTATCTCTTTGCACCGTGGGCATAGAGACTGTGATTCAAGCACAGACTGACTGGAAGTTACCGTCAGGCTTAGCCACCAGGCCTGCACCCAAAGACTCAGTTAAAAGAGGATGGAGGGCTGGAGAAATGGCTCAGCGGTAAGAGCACTGGCTGCTCCCTTCCAGGGGTCCCATTCCCAGCAACCATCCGTAATGACATCTGGCATGCAGGCATACACACAGGCAGAGCACTGTATATGTAATAAGTAAATAAATCTTTAAAAATAAAATAAAATAAAAGATCATGGAACCAGGCATGGTGGCACACACCTTTAACCCCAGCACTCACGAGGCAGAGACCTCTGTGAAGTTGAGTTCAACCTGGTCTACATGGCAAGTTTTAGATTAGCCAGAGGTACACAGTGAGACCCTGTCCAAAGCTGGGGGAGGAGAGGGAAGGTTGTCGTCAGCTCTGGAGAAGACATAGGAAAGAATGCTAAATGGTCACTTCCAGGAGGGTGCAGTGGGATCCTCTCCAAAGAGCATTTTTTGACTTCTATGAAGGTCTGCTTGGATTCACTGAATAACTGCCATATCATCTAGCTCCTGTGGCCCCAGCATTGGACTCACCGATGGACATTTGATGACATGATCCAAATATTACATAAATGACTGAAGAGCAGAAAGCAGCATAAGTGACGTTGAGGGGAGGAATCAGTTGCCTTGTCAGCAAACTAAGTGTCAGGCCTGAAAAGCAAAATAACTTAGTTGAGCTAATACAGTAGTTTGACTTTAGACATTACCATAAGCTGGGTGGTGGTGGTGCATGCCTTTAATCCCAGCACTGGGGAGGCAGAGGCAGAGGCAGGTCAATCTCTGTGAGTTTGAGGCCAGCCTGGCCTACAGAGTTTCAGGACAGTCAGGGCTGTTATTCAAAGAAACTGTCTCCAAAAAAAAAAAAAAAAACAAAAAACAAAAAACAAAAAAAAACCAACAAACAAGAAAAGAGTTATCTTATATAGAAATGGCTATGAATGCTTAGACCCTCTATACAGTGTCTCCAAGAGGCCTGGGCTGGGGGCTGGACAGATGGATAAGCAGTGTAGAGCACTTGCTTCTCAGGGCCTGGGTTTGGCTTCCAGCACCAAGGTTTGGCAGCAGACAGCCCCATGTAACTCCAATTCCAAGGGACTGGGTGCCTCTGGCCTCTGAGGGCACCTGTACTAACATGTACACATACATAGACATACATAAATAAAAGTAATAAGAAGGAAAAAGGGCAACCCTGGGAATCCTCCAGGGCCAAAGACAGAGATGGAGAACAAGGGAGAAATCACACAAAACTCAACTTGCCTTCATTTTGCCAGGCGCAGTCTGTCTTCTATACGCTAACCACCCCAATGTCTTGTCTTAGTATTCCTATACAAGGCTTTAGAAATACTTATTTATGGCTGAGTGTGGTGGCACAGGCACATGGATTTCTGTGAGTTCAAGTTAAATCTGGTTTATATAATGAGCTCCTAGTCTCTAGGTAGAGCGACCTTATCTAAAACAACAACAAAATTCTTATTTATTATGGAGTGTGTGTGTGTGTGTGTGTGTGTGTGTGTGTGTGTGTATGTATGTACAACTTCATAGAATTGGCTCTTTCCTTATATCTTTCCATAGGTTCTGAGGCCTGAACTCAGATCATCAGGCTTTCATCCCCAGGCAGCAAGCTCTCTCCAAGCTGAGCTATATCCCTAGTCCTTTGTCTGTTGTGGAATATTAATTATCTGGGCAAAGGTTGCTACATTTGTTTATGCTGTGGAATGTTGCCTTAACTATGTGAAGATGTGTTATATTTGTTTCTGCTGCCTTTGTTAATGACATAAAGATGTGTTACATTTGTTTGTGCTGCATGTGTTTAATTATAGAAAGATGTGTTACATGTTTCACCTTGCCTATCTAAGGCACTTGATTAATCTAATAAAAAGCTAAACATCTGCCAGGCTGTGGTAGCTCACCCTTTTAATCCCAGCACTTGGGAGGCAGAGGCAGGTGGATCTCTGTGAGTTCAGAGCTCTGTGAGTTCGAGGCGAGCCTGATCTACAAAGCTACACAGAGAAACCCTGTCTCGGAGAAGAAGGAAGGAAGGAAGGAAGGAAGGAAGGAAGGAAGGAAGGAAGGAAGGAAGGAACTAAACATCCAATAGCTTGGCAGGAGAAGGATAGGCAGGACTGGCAGACATACAGAATACGTAGGAGAAGAAAGCTAGGCTTGAGAAGGGAATAAAGGAAGAAATGGCGATGGTAAGAATGCCATCCCTGCATTTTCCAGAGCTGCTTGTTCCTGAAAGTGGTTAAGGCCCAGTGGGTCAACTTTGGTAAGAAGGCTTTGGATTGCCCTTACCTTGGGGAACTTGAACAAGACCAACACTTAAACCAGCAAGTAAGTCTCCAAGAAGCCAGTCCTTGAATCGATACAGACACATCCACTCTAGGAAGGGAAAGATCGTAAGCATGCATCGTAGAAACTTGTGCCATGAGCAGCTGGGAGAAAGAAGAACAGAGATTCAATTAGGCTCTCCAGGGAGAATCCCCTGACCAAGCAGGGGGGCCTTATAGTGCATTCCCTTATAGTGCAATTTCTCATCAGCATGGCCAATGTTTTAACATATTGGACTAAAGTATTCTTTGCTGTGGGACTAATTGTCCTGTGTATTTCATAATGTCTCGCATCCCTGGCTTTTATCCACTAGATGTCAGCAGTGTCCTCCCCAGGCTTAGAGAACCAAAGATATTGAGAAATATCCCCTGAAGACAAAACTACAGCAAGAACTGGCAGGGTGTGTCTGGCAAGGACTGAGACTCACATCCAGGGAACAGTCAGTTCTGTGTTTTTATTGTTTGGTGAGAGTCATCAAACTTACCTACTTCCTTTTTTTTTTTTTTTTTTTTTTTTTTTTTTGGTTTTTTGTTTTGTTTTGTTTGTTTGTTTGTTTTACAAGACAGTGTTTCTCTGTCCTGGCTGTCCTGGAACTCACAGAGATCTGTCTGCCTCTGCTTCCTGAGTGCTGGAATTAAAGACTTCTAGTAGAGAATGAACTAGTATCACTGTCTCTTCATAATAACAGTGTTTTGGGGCTGGGAGAATGGCTCCTACATCATTGCCCACAACTATTCTTACCTCCAGTCTCAGGGAATTCAATCCCTCTTCTGGCCTCTACTAGCAGTGCACACACACGGTGCACACACATACATGCAGGCAAAACACTCATACACATTAAAAAGACTAAACAAAGGATAGTGGTGGCATATGCCTGTAATCCCAGCACTTGAGAGGCAGAGGTAGGCAAGATCTCATTGAGTTCAAGGCCAGTCTGATCTACAAAGTGAGTTCCAGGACAGTCAGGGCTACACAGAGAGACCCTGATGGAGGATGTCCTTCTGAATGCTGTGAATATATGTTTCTCTTATTGGTTGATGTTTCTGTCAATGAACAGGCAGGATTTAGCCAGGTGCGAAATCTAATTTGGGAGGGGCGACTGGTGGTAGAGTACTTGCCTAGCATTCATGGAGCCCTGGGCTAAGTCTCCAGCACCACACAGACCAGATTTGGTACATGTGCTGCAGGCCTGTAAATCTCAGTACACGGGAGGTGGGGGCAGGAGAATAAGGTCAAGAGAATATTTGGATACACGGTGACTTTGAAGCTAACCTGGATGACATAACCTGTCTTTAAAAAAGAAAGGAAGAAAGGGAAGGAAGGAATGGAGGAAGAAAGAGAGGGAGGGAGGGAGAAAAACATTGCCAGGTATGTTGGTACACTTTAATTCTAGCACTCAGCAGACAGGCTGGCAGAGTTCAAAGCCAGACTAGTCTACAAGGGGAGTTCCATGCTGCCAAGGCCTGTCTCAAAACACCAGCCAACCAACAAACAAAACACACAGCACTGCCACCACCACCAAAATAGAAATAAATTCATGGTCTGAAATGTTAGTGTGAAAAGCTGTGCACAGTGGCACATACATGCAGTCCCAGCTACTGCAGAGGCTGAGGCAGGGGGATGACTCAAGCCTATGAACCAGCCTGAACAGCATAATGACACCTTCAGGTCCTCTAGAGCTGTGGTTCTCACCCTTCCTAATTCTGGGACCCTTTAATACAGTTCCTCACGCTGTGATGACCCCACAACCATGAAATAATTTTCATTGCTACTTCATAATTGTGTACTTGCTACTGTTATAATTGTAATGTAAATATCTGTGTTTTCCGGTGGTCTTAGGTGACCCTGTGAAAATGCTGTTTGACACCCCACCCCCAGGGGTCAGGACCCACAGGTTGAAAGGGCCACAATCTACTGAGGGGTAAAAAACAGTTTGGCTTTAAATTGCCTTTTGCCGTTTATGCTTTGGCACGGACTGGCGGCAGGTTGGATGGTTTTCCTCATGTACACATTGGGCTAGACGACAGATTTGACTATAACAACAAATATAACTTTAGCATGTGTACCACTAAAGCATGTGCTCAGAAAAGAGGCAATTCCATGTATTTAAACATTTTTAGATTTATTTATTTTATGTGTGTGAGTGCTTTGCCTGTATGTATGTATTGCACCATGTGCATACAGTGCCCAAGGACATCAGAAGAGGGCATTGGGTCCCCTGGAACTGGAGTTATGGACAGTTATGAACGACCATGTGAGTGATGGGATTGGAATTTGGGTACTCTCCAAGAGCAACAAGTGCTCTTAATTGCTGAGCATCTGTCCAGCCCTGGTCCCATGTATTTGTCTTGCATGACATAAGCATCTCTAAGATACATGAGTAGGAATGACTTTCCCAAAGTCATGAGCAGAGTTGGGTCAGGAAGTCATGTATCCTGATGCCTAGCTCAGTGTTCTAGCCTTTCTGTAGTTTATAAACTCTGAGGCCCCTGCTGACAGATGCTCCATTATGCAAGGCCACTGGTTTGGGAGGAACTTTGAGTTGCTATTTTCATGTAGGTTGCTGGGTTTGAGGTAGGTGTACCATCATCATCAGAGAAAATGGTCTGCATGTACCTGCTCTAAACCCAGAACACGGGACCCGGGCAACCTGTCCCTTCACCTGGTGCAGTGTCCCCTCCCGGACATGTGCATCTGGCTAAAGACCACTAACCCTGCAGAGTCATCGGGTCTCTGGCATCAGGGAAAATTGAAGTGGACATGGAATGAAGAGGGTCTGAGCTACACAGAGCCAAGGAGGGAGACAGATGGATGGAAAGCTGGAGCTGATGGGGGAAAGCCTGATGTATGTAATGGTGGCATCTTAAGTGAGAAAGGTGGGCCAGGGACTTGGGGAGGATGAAGACCTGAGTGTGAATTTTGAGGACGAGCGTGAAAGCCAGACACATAGTGTAAGAGTTTGTAATCCCGGGGAGCCGGGGTGGGAAGTGGGGGAGTGGGAAAAGGACCCTCAGAAGCAAAGCAGCCAGCAAGTCTGGCTTGTGCAGTGGAAAATGAAGACATATGGTATCTCTAAGGAGGGGGAAGGTAAGGACCAATACCCAGGGTTGTTATCGGACTACACATACACACAAACATGCATACACGCACACACGTATGCACGCATACACACCAAGGAATGTGTGTGGCCTGCTGACACACATCTGTATTACTAGCACTTGGGAGGCAGAGAATCAGAAGATCAGTAGCTCAGGGTCATCCTTAGCTACACAGTAAATTTGAGAGCAACCTGAGCTACATGAGACCCTGTCTCAAACAAACAAGAGAGTGAGGAATATAATAGTTGGTAGGAAAACACAGAGGGCATTTTGACATAAAAGGGGACATGGGTAGTTGTGAAGAAGAGGAAAGAAGAAAGATGTTTTTCTGCAGAAACGAAGAGATAGGGTTAATAGGGGTTATTTTATTTACTAAAAATGTTTCTCAAGACCAGGAAACCAAAACCACTTATCTAGTGTTTACTATTTCCGAGACATTTTTAAAAATCCTTTAACCCCTTTAATAGATCCGAAGCAGGTGCCATCATCACTTCCATGGCACAGGAGAGCTAGATAAGTTACCTACAGCCACACAGCTGGGCAGGAAGCACGAGACAAGAGCCATGCCCTCAGTGTCCCACTGTGTGCAGTACCCTGCTGGCCGAGATTGCTTGTTAAAATCCAGAAGAGGCTGAAACTGTGTTCTAGAAGTGGAAATATGAAGAGAAGAGAAAGAAAAAAAATGTAAGCAATAAAAGAAAAGATTTTAAAAATAGAAACTGGCATATGAGGTTGATCCAGCTGTGACTTCTGTCACTCCATTGATCGCCAACATTGATTTGGCGGATCTGGCTGGCTAAGCGGGTGTCCCCTTCTTCCCTCACCGCTCCATGTGCATCCCTAGAGGAGGACTGGTCTTCGTCAAGGATATATTAGTAGCTGAGATGTGCTGCTAGAACCTCCAAATAGAAACTGAGGCTCAGTGCATGTATAAAAGCCACATGAAGGGCTGGAAAGATAGCGCAGAGGTTAAGAGCATGGAACAGTCTTGCAGAGGACCAGAGTTCAGTTCCCAGCACCTTTGTCAGGAAGCTCACAACTGCCTATGCTCCAGCTCCAGACAACCTAACATCCTCTTCTGGCCCTCATGGGCAGCTGCACATACGTGGCAAATATGCATACAAATACATACACATAAATAAAATAGACACACACACACAAGCATGCAGTATTTTACAGACAGGGTCTCATGATGTACCCCTGGCTGGCTTGGAACTCTCTGGAGAACAATTGGGAGTCTTTGCCCGCTGAGGGCTAGGCTTGAAGGCATGTACTACCATACCCAGACCTTTAAAAAAATGCCCACAGGAAGCAGAATTGTCTTTTAAGTGTCTAGATAGAATGTTGGAGCAGGTAGATGCCAGATAGGTTGAAATAGCCTTGATAATAATTGTTTACAAGGTTAATTAAAGTCATGAGAAGACTATCACTTTGCACCTGCCCAGGGCCTTGCACCTGCCCAGGGCCTTGCACCTGCCCAGGGTCTTGCCCCTGCTCTGGGGGGAAATGTCTCTTTTGACACACATTCCCTTTTGTTGCTCGAGGCGGAAGAAGTCAGGGTAGTGACACAGAAACAGGGAGGGGACATCCAACTGCACCTTGCACAAGGCAGGATATGAATAAAGGGAGTGAAACTTCTGAAGTGGAGGTGTAGGGGACTTTGCTATCAGCAACTGCAGGCCTGATTGTGAAAGACAAGCAGGGGCTGAGGGGCAGATAAGGCCAGATGTGGGGGAGGACAGCTGGAGTAATGAGAGCTGATGTAGGGCTCTTCAGCCCTGTGGTCTTATGCAGAATTTGAGGTGAATGTGATTGTGGGGGCTAGAGAGTCATTATTTTCACTAATTTCTGGCTGAAATTTCATATTTCCTTTAATTATGGTTTTTTGTTTGTTTTGAGGCATCTTGCTCATGACAATCCTGCCTCAGCCTCCCTGGGTTTATGGGCATGTGCCACCATGAATGGCTCCTTCAATTATGAATATTGATTACAAACTGAAGTAGAAGCTCAAGAACTGAATGCTATAACCACAATATTACTATTGCTATAGATCTCCTGAAATGATATTTACATTCCTTATTTCCTTAAAACTATGGTTTTTAGTATGGTAGTTACTAGATCCATAGATAGATACATAAACGTGATTTTGTTTGTTTTGAGACGGGGTTTCTCTATGTAGGCTGGGCCACCCTAAAACTCACTCTGTAGACCAGGCTGGCCTCGAACTCACAGATCTGCCTGCCCCTGCCTCCTGAGTGCTGGGATTAAAGGAGTGCGCCACCACCCCCCAGCTCAATAGATTTTAATGCGACTGTTTCTCCTTATAATTTTATGTTGTTTTATACTACTAAATTCCTGGGCACAGAGATGATTTAAGCAGTTGAGAGTTCAAGACCAGCCTGGGCAACCTAGCAAGACACTGGCTGCTCTTTCTGAGGTCCAGGGTTTGGTCCCCAGCTCCACATGGCAGCTCACAACTGTCTGTCCATAACTGTAGTTCCAGGGGATCTGATACTTCCCCCTCCACAGGTACCTGCACTCACATGTACAAACCCACATACAGAAGCACACACCTACACATAGTTCAAAATAATAAAAAATGTTTTGTTTGTTTGTTTTCTAAGACAGGGTTTCTCTGTGTAACCCTGGCTGTCTAGGAACCCACTCTATAGATCAGGTTGGCCTAGAACTCACAGAGATCTGCCTGCCTCTGCCTCCCCAAAATAAATATTCTTAAAAGGCTCTAATGGAGGGAAATGACAATTTACAGAGTTAAAAAAATGTACAAATCATTATATAAGAACTGAATATCCAGAATATTTAAAGAAATCCTCTAACTCATCCAGGTGGTGGTGGCACACACCCTTAATCCCAGCACTTGGGAGGCTGAGTTTGAGGCCAGCTTGGTCTACAGGGCAAGTTCTGCAACAGCCAAAGCTACCAAAAACACCCTGTCTCAAAACAAAACAACAATAACAACAACAAATCACCCAACTCAATGATAAAAAAAGGTAAAAGAAGTGATGATACAAAAGTGGCCAATACACACAGGAAAAAAGTTGCTCATATCTTCATGAGAAAAACATGGACCAAAACAAAACAAAACAAAAACACAGAGACACCACCTCATACCTGCTAAAATGGGGCTAATTCAAAAGACAGAAGGGAAATTTTGGAGAGTGCAGAAAACTAGAATCCTTATACACTTCTAGGGGGAATGTAAACCAGTGCCAGCATTATAGAGATCAATGTGTGCCAGCTCCTCAAAAGTCAATGAGTGAGATAGAGTATGCCTATAATCCTGCATTCCGGAGGCTGAGGCAGGAGGATAGTGAGTTTGAGCCTAGCCAGGACTAACAGTGAGACCCTATCTCAAAAAAACAAAACAAGAAGCATAAGGCTGGCTTTCAGACCCTCAGTAACATGGAAGAAGAAAGAACCAGGAGGGCAGTGCAGCCTGAAACCAGAAGCTAGGACAGTAGAGACCAAAGGGGTCCCTGCAGCTCACTGCTCAGCCAGCCTAGCTTAATCCAAGAGCTCTCAGTTCAGTGAGAGACCCTGCCTCAAACCTTAAGGTAGAAAGTGATAGAGAGAGATGCTTGACATCAGCCTCTGGCCTCTGTGTGTTTGTGCACACACATGTGTCGCACAGCTGCACATAGAACTGACATATGACCTGAGACTTCTACCCCTAGGCAGGGTCCTGAGAGAATTACAAAAAGGGGTTGGAACAGATCTGTGCCTACATTCACAGCAACATTATTTTCAGAGACTGGAATAACCCAAGTGTCCATCAACAAACCGATGGATAGACAAAGTGTATATGAAACAAAATGAATTATTACTCTGCCATAGAAAAAAGGAAGTGTGCTGGCACTTGTTATAATACAGATGAAACTTGAAAACATGATATTAAATGAAACATGCCAGACACAGAAAGACAAATGCTGTGTGGTTCTGCTTGAATCACAAAGGGCAGGTTAATCTCGAAGGGGCCAGAAATAGAGATGGGGTGAGAGGCAGGGAGTCATTGCTTAATGAGTAGAGTTTCTGTTTGAGGTGATGAAAAAGTTATGCAAACTAACTGTGGTGGTAGTTGCATAATAACAATTATGCCACAAAATCCCACCCTTAAAAATGGTCAAAACAAAGCCAGGTGGTGGTGGTACACACCTTTAATCCCATTACTTGGGAGGCAGTAGTGGCAGGTGGGTCTCAGTGTATTTGAGGACAGCCTAGTGGTCTACAGAACAAGTTCTAGGACAGCCAGGACTATTACACTGAGAAACCCTGACTTGAAAAACAAAACAAAAACAAAAGTAAAACAAAACAAAAAAGGTCAAAACAACCAGCTTGATAGCATATATCTTTTACTATAATTGAAATCCACTCTAGCACATGCCAATCCCTAGTACTAGAGACAGAATGCAAAAGAGCTGGTAGTCGTGGTGCACATCCACAGACCTAGCACTGGGGAGGTGAAGGCAGGAGGAGGGTCAGGACTTCAGGCTAGGCTGGACTACATAGGGAGTGTGAGGCCACACTAGGCTATATGAGACGCTGTCTTGAAGAAAAAGAAAAAAATTAATGAAAATAAATTACTCTGAAAAGATGTCCTTTCACTCTGTTAGTTTGCTAAGAGGTTCATGGCACAGAAACAGGCTGAGAATCCCTTGCTAGTCAGGGTGGGAATTAGAGGTGGTGTGTCCTCTCTGTTGATGGCCAAGATGTGGCCATTAGAAGGATTTCTTTGTTACTATTGCTTAGTCCATCAGAGCTGTCTAACTTTTTGTGGGACTACTAATGGTAGTTGGTGTTTTATTACATTTATTTGGTGTGGGAATAGGAAACAGCTTTGTAGAGGCATTCTCTCTTTCCACCAAGCAGGTCCCAGGAATAGAACTTAGGTCCTCAGGCTTTGCAGCAAGCACCTTTACCTACTGACCTATTTTGCCTGCCTTGATTAAACAATGTATTTATTAAATATCATCCTGAGACACTTTGGGAGGTCTTTATGCCTACAGTGACTGGATTGTGGCTAGTCCTGCAAAGGTTAAGGGCTGAGAGCTTGGTTCCGATGGAGGCCATGTTTGGAAACGACACCTAGTGACTGAGACCTTGGCTGCAGGAGCCCTCATACCTCGATCCATCTCTTCTGGGGGCAGAATTAGCACCACAAGAACAGGCTTTATAAAATGAGCTGCCCTATGTCTTGGCCACTTGGCAGTTATCTTTTCCATTCCTCAGCTACACTGTGACACAGCAGGGTGTCCTCACCAGGATACCAGCACCCATACCATTTGGACCCATTGGCCAAACACACCTTTTATTAGGAAGTTATTCAGCCTTTTGTCTTTTGTTACAGTGGAATACCAGAAAACAGGCTAAAAGACAATGCCAGAGAAGTTGATAATCAGAGACTCTGCAAGACACACACAAATACAGACACAGACACACACACACACAGACACAGACATACAGAGGCACAGACACATGCACATAGACTCACAGAGAGACACAGACAGACAGAAAGACAGGCAGGCCATCGTTTAGGCCAGCAAGCACACAGCCAACAACAACAACAACAACAAAAATCACAGTAAACAGCCTGGTTCTGAGAACAGGAATCCAGAGAAGGAACACAGAGAGAGTCAGGTCAGCTTTTGCTCCTGCCTGGCTTGCTGGCTACTGAGAGGCTGAGGACACGCACCGGCACTGGACATGGTGTTTGAAGGTGGTGATGTTGATGTCCACATTTCCGGAAGAGGTGGCCTTCCTCCTGTGCTCCTGCTGGAAATTCTCCTCATTGTACACGTTTCGCTTGACATCGTATGCAAAGGGGATTTGCCTGTATCTGCTGCCCAAACTCTGGATACTCCTCTCTGTTTGCATCCTTCCTGGATGAGCTGGAAAGATATCTGGTTAAAAAACAACAACAACAACAAAACCAGGCATTAGGGTTTACGAGACAGCTCAGTGGTGAAAGGTGTTTGCTGGCAAGCCTGATGACCTGTGTTCAATCCCAGGACCCACATGATAAGAGTAACTGATTCCTGCAAGTTGTCCTCTGATTTCATGTGCAATCTGTGGCAACACATGCCATTCCCACCACCAAATAAATAAATGTAATAAAAAATATTTAGGGCTGGGTATAGTAGCATATGTTTATTAATCCCAGCACCTGGTAAGCAGAGACAGAAGGATTTCTGAGTTTGAGTACAGCCTGGTCTATGTAGCAAGTTCTACACCAGCCTGGACTGCATAGAGAGACCCTGTCTCAAAAGATAAGTACATTTTTAGAAATGTACATCATTAGCACTTTTCTTGATTACTTATTTAGTATGTATACAGTATTCTGTCTGCATGTATCCCTTGCAGGCCAGAAGAGGGCGCCAGACTTCATTACAAATGGTTGTGAGCCATATTGTGGTTGTTGAGAATTGAACTCAGGTCCTCTGGAAGAGCAGCCAGTACTTTTAACCTCTGAGCCATCTCTCCAGCTTCAGTCTTCCTTCTTAATATAGAAACTTTCTATGTTGCTAAGCCTGGTTTTGGACGAGTCTCCAGCAAGCTCCCTGATTCAGCCCCAGAGCACTGGAGCTATAGCTTGTGTAATCATCAGCTCCAGACTATTGGGCCCATAGCATGTGTAACTGCGTCTGCCTTTCAGCACATTTTGAAGGAAATGTATTTCACACATAATGATTTTACATTGCACAGCAGTTTTATAAGACCCTTCCCCAAGGTTGTACAATCTCACACTCAAAATCATTCTACCACCAATTCAAATGACATGTCATTTTCATGCTCAAAATGGACAAGATGTCAGGTGTGGTGGCCTGGTCTGTAATCCCAGCACTGTAGACCGTAGGAGCATTGTAGGAGCAGAAGGACCACAAGGTTGACATCTCAGGTTTTGTGTTTGTTTGCTCTGCCCAGGTCTTGGTATGTAGCCTCAGTTGAGAACAAGCTCAGAAGTCTAGGCAACTTCAGTGTTTACTGCTTATTTACTGTGTGTGTGTGTGTGTGTGTGTGTGTGTGTGTGTGTGTGTGTGTGTGTAGGCTATGTTTGTTTAAGGTTCTCACTATGTAGCTCTGCGCTGGAAAGATGCTGGTGTTTTCCCCACAACTATCAGACTTGCCTTTTCTGACAGGTGTAGGACCACGTAATCTAGAGTGACACTGATGATCCCAGCCTGGGGAATGGAAAAGAGTAAAAGAACTCCCTGAGTAGCTGAGTTGAGACCCAGCTCAGACGGGGGAAGAGGAATAGCTGTTTCAAGGACAGGACTGGACACAATGAGAGATAATATAAGGGAAATATTTAGAAAGATCTGAGTCATGCCAGCTTTTGACTGGGGGTTTGGGGTGGGGTCTAAATGTGTTCCTAGAGGGCCAGTGAAAGGACTCTGCAGATATAGGCACTTGCCACCACACCTGACAACCTGAGTCTGATCCCTAAGACCCGTGTGGCAAGATGAGAAAACTGACTCCCACAGTTGTTTTCTGACTTGTACTCAGTCATGTGCCTGCCTGTATTTATATATGATCACACACAAACTTAACTGTTCCTAGAGGGTGCTGAGTGTGGTAGCACACACCTGTAATCTCAGCACTTGGAACACAGAGGCAGGAGGGTCAGGGGTTCAAACTCAGCCTCTGTTACATAGCAAGCTTGAGGTCAGCCTGGGATATACAAGACCCTATTTCAAAATAAACTAACAGAACTATATGCCAAATAAAGTCCTTCCCAGAGGGTCCTGGATGTTTTAGTTATCTGGAGTCTGAGCAGGAGTCATGTACACATGGTATAGAAGAGACAGACTGAGTCAGAGATGCTGTATTGAGCTGTATGGTCCAGCATGCTGAGCCATGGCTACTAAATTTACTACTTAAATGTAACTTTCATAAAGTGAAGATTTTAAATGCACTTCCCCACCCATTAGCTACATTCCACATGGCTGACGCACTCGGCTCACACACTGCTCACACACAGCCAGTTGGCTTCCTACCTGGACGGTGCAGATAGAAAGCTTTCTGTCAATAGGGGAAGCTGATTTGAACAGTGCTGGAGATGGAGAGGTCAAGGCCAAAGCACCAGTCAGAGACCCCCAGTGTCACACTAGTCTAGGGACAGGTTAGTAAGTCATTTAGAAAAAGTTGGAAAGAATGAAACCAGTCAACCAACCAAACAAAGCAAAACCGTGGAGCCACGGTGGAGAGACAGGTGGAATGCTGCCTGTAATGTCTGGTCATGTGTCTGCCTGAAGCACCAAGGGCAAACACATGACTTCCTTATTATTAGTTTCGTTAGAAGTCTCAGGAATTGCTCCAACTCATGACTCTCTGTATCTGTGTTTGTGTGTGCATGCATGTGTATATGTGTTGGAGTGGAGGACAGGGGTCCTTTTTTCATAAAAATTTATTTATTCTATTTTTATTTTCTTTTTACATGTATATAGGTTCATTGTTTGTGCCTGGTGTCCTCAGAGGCCAGAAGAGATCCCCTGGAACTGGAGTTACAGTTGTGAGCCACCATATAGATTCTGAGAATTGAACCTAGGTCCTCTGCAAGTGCCTCTTAACCACTCAGCCTGGTCTCAGCCCCCTCCATCTTATTTTTGAGACAGGGCCTCTTATTCAACAGGAGTTCACTGGTTCAGTCAGACAAGGTGGTCGTAAGCTCCCTGTTCCTTCCCTACCCAGCTCTGTGCATCTGAACTCAGGTCCTCATGCTTTCTCAGCAAGTCCTTTACAGATGGAGCCATCTTCCCAGCCCCTCCATCTCTTTTTGTTTTCATACAAACCCCAGCAATGGTCTCACATACCAGCAGAACTCTTTCCACCATGTTGGAATGTGTAGACCACCCTGAGTAAGACCTCCTGAATCAGAAGTTCTGGGGAAGCTGGGTTTTAACAAGTTTTAAGGGTGCTGGGTTAGCTAAGTTTAGTGGTGCACATCTTTAACCCTAGCACTCGAGAGCAGAAGCAGGCAGATCTCTGTGAGTTCTAGGCCAGCCATAGTGAGACCTTGTTTTGAGGTGGGGGCTGTAGCAATGATGGCAGCAGCAGTGTGACTCTGGTATGGAGTAGCATATAAGGGTGCTATAACCTAAGCTAGTTGTCTTTGAGATCTTGGCTTTTTTAATTTTAATTTTTGAGACAGGATCTCCCAGTTCTCCTGCCCTATCTGTCAAATGCTGGGATTATAGATTATAATCTATGAATTATAGATTATAATTCATTACTTAATTCCTTTTTTTTTTTTTCTTCCTCCTGTGGTGGGAATGTACCTGAGGGCCTCACATGCTAGGATGCTCGACTCTGAGCTGTCATCCCAGCCTTTAATTATCTTCAATCAGGCTCTCACTGCTAAATTTAGAACACTATTAAAATACAAATACTTTTACCCAGTTTTCACAACTTCCACTGTTCTTATCCACCCACTCACCCACCCACTCACTAATTGATTCAAAGAATCTCCACTTGGAATATTTAAATGCAAAATAAATGTAACCTGATATTTAAAAATTTGACCCTGAAATTTAAGGTACAAGAATGTCTTTCACCTGATATAGTCATCTTTCATGTTTCCTATAATCCTTAGGCAAAATTCACTTCCAATTTTTAAAAGTAAGCAGGTGAAATCCCAAACATAACTACTCAATGCCTGTGACTGACTCGGTTTTGATGGAGAATGTACAGGGATAAGTGAAGGTAACAGCCCTCCACCTTCCTTCGGTGTTACCAAGGGGGTGTGTTGGAGAGACACTCATCACTGGGCAGAATAGAGATGGCAAGGGAGGGTCCAATGCATAGACCACAAATGGGAATTTGCCTAAAGGATAGACAACAGGGGGAAGGGGTGGAGCACAGGGTTCAGCCAGACAGAACAAAGTGAACAAAAACAGTGAGGTTTGAAAAGCTTAGGGGCCCTGGGCTGAGGCTCCATGAGGACACATATGGGATGGAAGTGTAGCGAGGCCCACAGACCAGTTCTGTCAGCTTCTGACAATACAGAGGAGAGAACTTTGAAAGACGCAGCCTGCAAAACCCACTCTGTCTCTTGTCACTGCTGTTTCACGCGGTCTTTCTATACCAGAGAGAAGTTCTATTCATTCTTTCACCTGGTCCGAGTGCCCAGGACCCTCCTGGCCCTGCAGGTGACCCAAGTAGCCCTGCCCTGGGACGTTCCGTGGCCTCTTGGCTCCTGGGCTGCAGCCAGTGCTCCTGATGGCTCCCGACCGAGGCTCACCTGGTTCCCCGTGGCGGGCGGGAGCCGCGGACGCTGGGGTCAGACTAGGCTCCAGCCTGGCTGGCGGCGGCGCTGCAGACGCGGAGGCCGGCAGTTCCCGAGCCGAGCCGTTGCTGCAGAACCCGCCGGCGTTCCGGCTGTGCGGGTGACGACCGAGGAAGCGTGGATGACTTCTGGGGCGAGAAGGGCACCTGGCTGCCCTCCACACACCTGGGCCGTGGGAACCCCAGGGATCCTCTAGAAACAGGCGCCCTTTCCCTCCTCCTGTTCAATGTAACTTACAGGCATGCCTTGATCACAGCGGGGTGGGTGTAGATGGGTAAGGGTTGAATTTTCCCCAGTCACATTTATTATTAGCTTTCACCAACGATTCTACTAGGTGGGAATGTTGTCCCTCTTGTAGAAACAGGAGCTGGGGCCTAAGGTCAACAGATTTGTCTAAAAGCTAGGCTGTCAGAACTCATTGCCCTGCTCCCCATACTTCCAGAGGCATGAATTAAGTCTTTAAAATTCTCTAAGTCTAGATTCTTAAGATTCTCCAAAGTTTCCTTTAAATTTCTTGGTTTGGGGATGTTTAAGATACGGTCTCATACTGGGCCAGGCTGGCCTGTAACTACAGGCCTATACAGCAGAGGCTGGTCTTGAACTCCTAATCCTTTCAAATTCTGGGATTACAGGATATATGTATGTATGTATGTATGTATGTATGTATGTATATGTATGGTATATGTATCTATATGTATGTATATGCCTGTGTGTATTCATATATATGTGGAAGAGGTGACCTTCCTGAATTAGAATGACCTACCACCATTAACGTGTGTGTGTGTGTGTGTGTGTGTGTGTATGTGCATACTTCCCTTTCCCTTCCAGTATGGGAACTGAACGCAGGACCTTGCACATGCCAGGCAGGTCCCGAGCCGGACCATGCACATTCTTGACATCTACTTCTGACCTTGTCCACTAGACTACCTGTGGGTCCCTGGAATTTCCTTCTGAAACTTAAGGGCTCCTATGAGCTTCTGGAGGGACAGTCTGGGCTTTGAGGCAGGGTTAATATTGGCCTGAAGGGGCGGATTTCATCAGCATCCCCACGAGCAAGCCTTGTGTCCTTGAGCAGCTAGGAATGCAATGCAACAGCTTTCTGCACAGGGCCTGTCTGCTCTTGCAAAGGTTTCTTGGAAATTGCGGCTTCCAATGAGCAGGTGGCTTGGAGTTCAAAGGCCTCTTGGCTCCTTTTCCGACGCTGTCACGGTGGCTTTCCACCATGGCGCCAGGCATTCGCCAAGCCGACCACACAGAGGCGCGCGCGGCATGCGCGGCAGCCTCCTCCTTCACGCTCTGGAAGGAGCCCAGTCCCCGAGAGTTCCTGCCTCGGCGGCCCCGCTGGCTCTCTCTTCTCGCGAGAACTGCCTCCCCGGCGCGCTCTTCTAGCGAATGCCCCCTCCCACGGGCGGGTTCCATATTGGGTAAGATCTGGACTTGCCCAGCGTCGTCTCCGGAGCGGTTCTCGCGAGAGTTCCGCGAGAGGCTCCCGGTCGTTGCCTGGAGGATCGCGGCCACAGGAGCCCGAGCGGGCGCTGTAGCGCGGGCGGGTGTCGTGCGGCGTCGGCCCGGGGCGCGGCTGCAGGGGGACCGCGGCGCGAGCAGCCTCGAGCCTCACAGCCGGTTCCCGCACATTGCCGAGGCTCGTAGGAGACGCCGCGGCTGACAGGGGCCGCGCGCCGGGGGTCGCAGCGTCCATACCTGCGCGGGCGCCCGGTCCGGCCAGCCGCGGGCGGCGGGCGTGCGAGCGGCAGGCGCAGAGGACAGCGTGCGGTTGCAGGCAGGGGCCCCTGCTCGGCCGCCTCCTGGCCCCGCGGCCGCCTCTGGAAAATGTCTCAGGAGAGGCCCACGTTCTACCGGCAGGAGCTGAACAAGACCATCTGGGAGGTGCCCGAGCGATACCAGAACCTGTCCCCGGTGGGCTCGGGTGCCTATGGCTCGGTGTGGTGAGTGTCGCCGGGCCTCGGGTGGGGGGTCGCGCTGGAGCAAGCAGGCTGGCCCTGCATGCATGCCTGAGGGCCAGGCCTGTCCCCGCAGCTCAGCGATGCGCCCAGCGGCAGGAATTCTCCTCCGGGCGTGTATGGGAGTGCGGGGGGCAGTCGGAGCGGCGCGTGTCCTGTACCCCTCACCTTGCACACGCGGGTCGGTGGTGAGCCATGTGCAGGAGCCGGTCAGCCGTGGGCGCCGTGCGATGGTGCTCCACCCTGCACTCCCCCCCTCCCGCTTAGAAGATTGTTCCTCCCGGTGTCCCTCTGCAGCCGTGCAGCCGAAGGACCCTGTCCCCGGGTGCGGCCGCTTGGGTCACAGGAGCCCTGCCCTGGGGAGCAGACGAGCCGGGCGGAGCTTCTGCGAGGAGCAGTAGGGCAAAGCCTGACCCCGGCACTACCGTCACCTGAACTAAACTTGCAAGAAAATAGCGCTCCCTTCCCCGATTTTTTTTTTTCCTCCTCCCCCTTGCAAGCCTCCATCGAAAAAAATCCTGGTTTAGGGACAGTTCTTTTGGAATTCTCACATGAATTAGTTGCAGCCCGAAGAGCCTAAAATACCGACTTTATCTCGGGGAGCGCGGTGCCAGCTTGCGTGCTGTGTTTCCGATTCGGTTGAAAGCGTATTTCCTTTTCGGGGAGGGAGGGTGGCAGCGCCTGCAAGGACGCTGCAGCTCGCCGCTTAGTCACATACCGCTGCTCATTTCAGTATTGTTTGACAAAACAGTTTTTCCAAGTGGAGCCAGAGGGGACTCCGATCCATTAGGCTTTCCCAAGATCAAAACGGTAGGACTAGTGACCGGAGATGTAAATAGTTTTTAATTGAAATAATTCCTGGGGATGCTTTTCTTTTTTTAAAGTCTTTTTTGAAGATTTGCAGGGGAGCTTTATCACCTTTTTTAAAAGGATGGAGGTACATGGTTTTCGTAAGAGCCTGGAACATACAAAGCAAAGGAAACGCAGTTTTTCAGCTTTCATTCACACTGTGATTTTTGATTCTTTGTTGTTCGATTGAGACTAAGTATCTCCCTGGCTGACCTGAACCTCACTCTCCTGGCCTGAAACTCACATAGATGCTGAGAATAAACGCTTTTTACCACCCTTGCAAGGCCCTGGGATTGGGTTTCAAATCTATACTATAAGATATCCACTCCAGAAATGTTTTAGGAACTTTTAAGGATTCGCACAGTGTCTTTTAGGCTTAGTATCTTCTTAGAGCTCCTGTTCTGAAAGTAAATATCAGGTTCAACAGCGTGTGTGTGTGTGTGTGTGTGTGTGTGTGTGTGTGTGTGTGTTTTGTGTGTGTGTGTGTGTGTGTGTGTGTGTTTTCCAAAGAGTCTCTGAAATGGTTTGTTTTGTTTTGTAACAAATTCCAGGCTTCTGGTTGTGTTAATCTTTAAGCATGTGTCCTGTGTTACTTAAAGTCACACCATGAATTTCCTGTTTGGTAGAATCTTCTGAGTAATTGAGATTGTGCAATCATGTCCAGCAACAGATCGAGTTACATTTGTTGGTGCAAGCAACTTAAGTGAGGGCACCAACCCTGACATCTTTCTCCCATGTTTACAGCGTGGCAGTTTATACATCTCTCATGTGTATTCGTGACTGGTCTGTTATATTCATTCTATAATATTTGACATACCTCCATCTTTCATTCCTAATTGTTACATTATTGGGTTTTGGCTTCCATTTGAATGTTCAGGAGTGATGCCTTACAATATCTCCAGTGTAGGGTGTCTGGGAGGATGAACTTGCGAGGTTTCCTATGGACACTGCTTCCCTGGGCAGAAGAGCCAGGTTTGCTATGAAGTTCAGCAGTGAAGTGACATTAAAACCAACGCTCACTTCCTCTGGTGCTGTTTTTTTCTGTGAAATTCTGTGGACAGAATTGAGCACAACCTCACAACTGAAAAGGACTTTCACCAAACAGCTTCTTAAAAGCAGGTGAAGTGGGACCAATGATGTAACTCATGCTACAGCCCCTGGCCTTGTATATGGGAGGCCCTGCATTCCATCCCCAGCAACACAGGAACAACACACAGCAAGTCATTATGTATAAAATTTAAAAAGGTATGCATCAAAAAGCCCTCTGTTTCTGTTCCCCAGCCCTGTTCTCTCTTCCTTCTGTGACAACCACTATTCAGTTCCTTGCATGTGTTTTTCAGAGACGCAGAGTTTCTACCAGAGATTTAAGATGTAGCCTAAAACCTATTGATGGAGGAAAAGATAACTGAAATTGTGCATGATGACTGAGCAAATATCTCTCTCAAGTTATTTAAAGCTGTCTTTTTCTTTCTTAATTTTTCTTTTCTTTTTTTTTTTTTTTTTTGAGGATTTATTTATTTTATGTGTATGGGTACTTTGCTTACACACATATCATATATGTGCACCACATGAATGCTTGGTGCTATGGAGATCCTGAAATTGGAGTTATAGACATTTGCATAACTACCATGTGGGTGGTGGGAATTGAACCTGGGTCCTCTACAGGAACACTGACCACTGAGTCATTTCTCTAGTCCCAAAGTTGTGTTTTCAGTTTGCAGCTTTTTGGGTGCAACTGAAAACACCTTTTGAATTTCTTTCTTTCCTCTTCCCCCTCCCCTCTCAAGACCCAAAGACAGGGTTCTCTGTATAACAACCCTGGCTGTCCTGGAACTCGCTCTGTAGACCTGGCTGGCTTCGAACTCACAGAGATCCGATTCCCTCTCTGCCTGATGAGTACTGGGATTAAAGGTGTGTGCCACCATGCTTGTCTTGTTGAATTTCTTTTTTAACCCACTTTGTGGCTTGTGTTCCCTTTCCACTCTCATCCTCTGAGACAGTTTGATATTGGAAAATAATGAAGTCCGTTTGAATGCAAGTAATTTAGGGGGATTTAGATTTGAAGCCTTGAAAAGAGAGAAGGCAGTCCAGTCTGTAACACTGTCTTAATGTCTGTTAGGGTTAGCCTTGTAATGTCACAGCATTTTTTGATAGGGCTTATTGAGCTGAACTTGAGGTCTCTTTGAAAAAGGACTCTCTTTATGGGACATGGTACACTTTGATATGTAGCTTTTTTGTTTGTTTAAGTTCAAACCTATTTTTATTTTAATTTGTACTGTAGTGAACAACAAAAAAGAGTAGCACCCTGTGTAGTAACCAACTGTGAATCAAAGATCAATAAGAGTCAGACTAGAAATTTGAGGGTTGATAGGGTTATACAGTATCTTTTAAAAAGAGCAAAGGGAACTAAACTAAGACTTCAAGTTTAAGGAACTTTGTTCGTTGTCTATAGAGGGAAATGAAGCAAAATTGTCTAAGACCGCATTGTTGCAAAGCATTGATTTTGTGGTTTGGGACATAGGGGAAAATCTCTGTGGTGAATTTAAGGAAATACAAACAGGAACTTCAGTGCCTTCCCTCTGGGGAAGGGGTCTTTCTAGGCCCTTGCTGGGCACACTAGGGCATCATGCATTAGGAGTGAGGATTGAGAATTACTTCTAGATCATCTATAGCCATTTATTCATCAGTATTTGTTGCATACCACCAAGTAATGGCTAGGTTCTTGAGATACAGTGCAGAAGACAGTTTGTTTCTTGGACTTGTAGAGGAATGAGTGTAGTAGCTACATTTTATGGGTTGCTTACTGTGCTGTAGGCATGGTGATGCACAGCTTATGATTGTCTTGTAAACATGTAACTAAACTTGTAGTTAGATGGTAAGTTCTTTTAAGAAACCAACAGTGTAATGAACTCTATAGGACAAGGTTTTTCCAGTAAATACGACAATAATAAATAAGGTATTTAAAAAGTATTAATAGCTATTAATTATTAATTTTATTTTAATGAGCCATGGTAAAAACAAAACTCCATGGTTAGGTAGGAAACCATGACTTTCTTGAGCCTTGACCAGAGAGAAGCCTGTGCTCTTTACGCTCTTTACTTTCTTAGCTGTAATAACTCACACCTCTTCTCTCCCATCCTTTCTAACTACTTTCCTTTCTTCAGGACAGTCAGATGGCCTTGAGCTCTTGATCCTTTTCCTGAGGCCCTAATCCTGGTTCCACAGAGTGGGCTACCAAGCTGCTTTTAGCTGACCTATCTTGCACTTACTGTCTTGGTAACTAAAAGTAGAATAGTTAGCTGGATGTTACTTGTCTTAATAAGAAACCTTTAAATACAGTTAGTAACTCCAAACCGCAATTTTGAGGTCAGCCTGGCCTGCAGAGTGAAAATGAAGCCCTGTCTCAAGAAAAACATAAACAGACAAAACCCCCCACAGAACATGGTTACTGGCAAGAGGGTGCATGTGTGTGTTTAGATTGATTTATTTTTATGTGTATGGGTGTTTTGTCCGAATGTGTATCTGTACCACAGTGTGCTTGGTGCCTTCAGAGGCCAGAATGGAGCATCATATTGACTGGAACTGGAATTACAGATGGTCATGAGCCACCATGTTGGTCCTGGGAACAAAACCCAGGTCTTCTGGTAGCCAGTGCTCACAACTACTGAGCCATCTCTTGTTTTACTCTTTTGGCTGTTTTGGGGGCCTGACACCTAGCTCCCTAATAAATCACACACATAGTCTTTTCTTTCTTTTTCTTTCTTTTTTTTTTTTTTTTTTTTTTTTTTTTTTTTTTTTGGTTTTTTGAGACAGGGTTTCTCTGTCCTGGAACTAGCTCTTGTAGACCAGGCTAGACTCAAACTCACAGAGATCCCCCTGCCTCTGACTCCTGAGTGCTGGAACTAAAGGTGTGCACCACCAACGCCGGGCACACACAGAGTCTTATTCTTGTAAATGTCAGGCCTTAGCTTGCTTTGTTTCTAGCCAGCTTTTTTTTTTTTTTTTTTTTTTTTTTTTTTTTTTTAATACTTAAATGACCCCATTTTTTGCCTCTGGGCTTTTTTCTTTTCTTCTGTGTATCTTACTTTCACTCTTAACTCTGTGACTGGCTGTATGGCTGGGTGACTGGCTCCTAG